ATCATTTTTATGATTTTACATGCTGTGTTCCATGTTTCTTTTGGTTTACAGATCATATGGAGGCACGGCGAGAGAGTATACTTAATATCAAATATGGAATTTCTGGTGATCGCACTATTGGTGCACACCCACCTGTTGCAGAAGACTCCAACAGACTTGGATGTGATGGGCAGGATTTGATCTTTAGGAGTGCTCTTTCTTTGCAGCGGCCTGTGCTTGATCCATGTTTGGCTGTTGGTTTTCTGCCTCTTCCTTCTAGCGGGCTTAGAGTTGGACAACTTGTTGCAATTAGATGGAGAATTGAAAGGTTGAAGGATTTTGAGGAAATTGATACCTTGCAACACCACAATGTAAGTCAGCAATACAGATGATCTTCACAAAGAAAACTAAGATACTTGGAGGATTTAAAAAAAAAGGTTTTTGGACTCTCTTATTAAAGTCGCAGTTACAAGTAAAAAGAGCATATGCTGCACCTATTCTTCTCTCATTTGATCTTGCTTTTGTTAAATTGGTTTCCGTTTCTCATCACCTGTTCTTCTGTGAATGATGTATTCGTAGGATGTCAAGAATGACTACAAGTTGGTTAGCAAGACAATGAAATAGCTAGCCAATTAGATATATTATGGATTATCTTAGTTGATGGTGCACAAGTTTCAAATTTATATTCCACTATCTGGTTCCATTCTCGGCTGGCTCTCACCAACCTCCGGAAGTCCTTGTTTAGTGCATGGTGTACTGGTTTTTTGAAAGCTTGGAAGGAATACAAAAGGAGAATTTATTGCTTTAATGCTAGTCAACCTCTCCATCAAATTTACTAAACTTTATAAACCTTTAAAAGAACCATTAAGAGTATTAGTTATTTCTTTTGTTCTGTTTTGACAAAATATTAGGATTAGTTATTTTAAATCTACAAACTAGAGGAGTAGGCTGTAGATTTGTGTTGTTCCTCTTTATTTAATTACATATTTGCTTAAAAGCTAAAGGATACCCATTCACGAGCCTAGACATCAGGGAGTCGTATCACATATTGAGTAGCTCATAGCATGCAAAGAACCTGGGTCTAAAATCAGGTTTCAGTGTAGTAAGTGTTGTTGCACTGAATAGCTACTTTAAATAGTTTCAAAATTGTTCTCTCATTATCCAATTTACTTTCGTATGACAGGATGAGTTCTTATATGAAGTCAGTGCAAATTCTGTGAATTGGATGATTGCCGGCAGGAAGAGAGGGCATGTCTCTCTATCTCCAAATCAAGGTTTTGAAGTCCCGCCTTTTGCTGTTAGTTATCTCTCGAGTAATTTTTGGATAGAGTAACTTATCATGCGCCGCCAATCTGTTTTCATGGCAGGTTCCAGAATAATCATCTCCATATTATGCGTGCCGCTGGTGGCTGGTTATGTTCGTCCCCCGCAACTAGGGCTGCCAAACATCGATAAAGCAAATATCAGTTGCAATCCCGCGGGTCCTCACCTGGTCTGCGTCTTGCCTCCGGCCCTCAGCTCCTCATTCTGTATCCCAGCATGATTTCCTCACCTGCTCCTCCGTTAGTCGGCTCCTCAACTCAGTCGTGCCACTTCCGATACCTGTAGGATTTTTTCATTCAAACAGAGTTAAACGAGATAAAGAGCGTGAGTAAGTATTAGAAATTTTACAGGATTCAAGATTTTGTAAATCCTTTTTCTTTCGTTGGTTGTTCAGGGAACGAAAAGCGTAGCTGAATTTATCGCGCGAGGTAGTTATTCAGGCGTTCTAGGTCTCAGCCACCTTGTACTTCCTGGTTCTGTGTACAGCGGGAATTTTGCTGTCCTCTTTGTTGTACAACACTTTTTGAGTAGAGTGTGAACGAGGCAAAAAAGAAAACTCTACTTCTGGTTTTCCAACGCATTGACACTGTGGAAGTCCTGATATGAATGATAAATTGATAATCCCACTTTTCAGTTGTCCAAACTTGTGCAGAATGGAACTTCGACAGGCACTATAAATTTGCATAGCTGCACGTAAGAGTTAATAATTTATCCCCCAAAAATATGATTAAAAACAACGCAAAAGACCATGCACTATTTGGACAACTACGAGGATAGAGTCCCCAATCCAAGATTGCTTTTGAAGCCGGATTGACTACTGTGTTGATAATGTTAATATCCCTTCAAATTTGATCTTCCTTTCGTCTTCCGAACTCAACAGACGCTGGTCTTTTAGAAGCAATGCCACATTTCCTGCGACCTTCGTATTCCATAAAGGAGCTAAAGCTGAACGTCACCATTCGTTTGAGCACGTAAATGATCTGGCGAAAGCTTTGCCATGAGTGATTTCCGAAAAAGAAACGAAAACAAGAAAAGAAAGGAAAAAAAAAAAAAGGTCCCACCGAGATTTGAACTCGGGTTACTGGATTCAGAGTCCAATGTCCTGACCACTAGACCATGGGACCCTTGTTGATACTGACTTGACCATATTTATTAATTATATATGTTGGAATAGAAGATAATTTTTTCTTTTTAATGTCGGTCAGCAATCCGCAACCATCACAAAGGACAAAATGGCTGTTGCCTGGGTAATTTCGCGTCACGTATTATCGATCGAATCCCGGTTCGTATGTTTGTTTTGTAGAAATTGAATGGTTTGAAAAATATTACGGCATAAGCAATCATTGATGATAGGTAATAACACAATTCACTCCCGATGAGCGAGCAATGAAACTTGAGATGCACCATGGACACGCTATTGCTTTTTAACTTGTAAATGTTAATCACATTTAGGTTTTTACTCGGTGTTTAACCCGGTTTACTCCATTAATATGGTATTCATGCGTTGAGAATTATGGAGCTGAGAAGGGATTTATTTTTTTCTTAAATAAATAAGAAATGCCAATAACACTGGAAGACACCAGAACAATCTTCCATCCATTGAGAATTAATCAGGCAACTCTCAGGGAATTTCATTTTTATATCTTTTTGCCAGAACAGGGAATTTATTTCGCAAATTTGCGATTTCCCGCAACTTCTTTAGTCTGTCTTACATGACATATCGTGACGTTAGCGATTTCTAGTGAAACTTGACCAAAAAGATTTCATTGGAATTTTGCGCAAAGGTCTATGACTCAATTAATCAAATTGAAAAGTTTAGGACTGAATTGATGTTAGCACAATAAGTCTAGGACCGATTGGATAATTTCCCCTTAATTAAGCAACAGCTCCTAGCTATACCCTCATAAATTCGGGTCATGCACCGCACTACAGCGATATAACGCTATACCGTGTACCATTAACAACTCATCGTCGAACGATATGGATTGGAAAAAAAAAAAATTAGCTTATTAGTAGTGCTAAGATATAAAATATTTTCCGCGCCACACTCTAAAGGTCTAAAAAAGATTCCGTGTATAACTCTAAGCAATAAAACTTAGACATTTGATACCAATAACGTAAGCTACATTAATGGACTCCGCAGAGTGATACGTCCAACCACATTACTGCAAGAAGGAACATTTCGGGTCCACCGACTCGACCCAAATGGTGATTTCAATGCTATCCATGGATGTGTTTTTAAATCTGATTTGACACGACTTTGATTAGACCCGACCCATGAATACTAGATCTCTAGCTTAGGGTTCGTAGATCGTCGGCTCATCGTAATTATTCCAACCCTAACTGGTCGTCCCTAATCATGAACCCCTCATCTCGACTCGATGTAGCCGGGTCCAGATCCTACCAACATGGGTGGACCGTGATGCTTTAATATGATTAATGTTTTCGACCCAAAAAAAAGATGATTAATGCTACGTGATTTGGATCGTGATATGGCGAGTATGGTCGTATTTCATGTTGAGTGACCTTAAATTATGCAAAAAGGGCATGCAAAATGGGGAGTATGGGGCTTATGAATTGTCCAATCACTTTTACTTTTTTGTCAGGCTAGAGAGCGATATCATAAACTTGAATTAGCCCTTTTGAAATATCATGATGTTCCATCATTATGATGCTGTCCGCCTTAAGTCTCGGAGGGGGAAAAAGGAGTAACCTAAACCAATCCCAGCGCATGCCCTAAATTCGACTTTATTATTAGAAAAGCAAAATGGAAATTCTGGAGGTTGCTTGCTTTGGCCAGGGGATTTTGTACTTTTTTCTCCCTCGATACCCATTTCATTTTAAGTTTAATCTTGTTCGAAAAGGTAAACCTCGTATTATGCTAATATCGATTCAAAATATCAATTGATCTCTATATAAATGGATTTTGTTAACAAGTACGTGAACGTCGCGAAACATTCATATAAAGAAAGTTTGTGATTTTCAATTTACTGTCTCCTTCATGCGTGATGTGTAATCGTTCATGCGTGATGTGTAATCGATGTGTCAAATCAAAATAATTTTTTATTATAAAACCCAAGAAAAATTATATTTTTATGGGATTACTAATCTTGGATTTCTTGCGTGATAAACAACTGTTCGCGTATCTTATGTTTGGGGGCAATCTTGATTGTGAAAAAAGACAATATAGCCAAGGTTAAATTACTGCTCGATTTTCATACATTCACCCGAAATAAGGTCCCCCCATGATTCGCTTTCACCCTCAAAAAGCAAGTCAGTTTCTTTCTTTCTTTCTTTCTTTGCACAACCAAAATTAAGATTCCAACTTGTAGGCTCTCAAAATTTGAATGCTTCGCCATCAAAGAATCCAAATTTGCAGATGAATAAAGATTTCAGGATGGCGACTTGATAAAAGCAGGACCCCCCCACCACCCTTCATCACGATGCACAACTTCGCACCCACCACCACCACAGAAGTGACATTCCAACACAACATGTCCTTTGCTAAAGAACCACCAGCAAAAACATCGCAGGCTTTCTCTAAAGTTGGTGGTGCCACCATCCATCAAATTCAGATCAAATCAAGGTCTTGATTCAACGATCTCCGCCATGCCTTCCCTATCTAGATCTCGTGTTCTATCGCAAAACCGCATCGACTCCCTCTTCATTCACAAGCGGGCTATTATCTAACATTGATATGGAGGACAAGAAGAACCAAGAACAGTGACATTAATGTTATATAGGCATTAACAAATGTCAATACAGAAGAAACATGTGCCCCTGCCTAATCTCCTTCTGCAGTTCCCTACTATTCATCTGGTTTGGCTTTGTCTCCCCAGACCTCAAGTCAACCAAAAAACAAAGGAAGTAAAAAAAGGAAGAAAAGACTACTTGCTTGGTGTCTAAACCAATATATAATTTTTCCCCAGCTTCATTTATTATTGTCTTTTTGCTGCTTATTCAATTTTCCATTTTTTTTGTAATTTCTTTTTTGGGTTAACTTGACATTCCTACTGTTCTGAAGTATTTGGGGATTGGATTCCTAGCTCTCCCGTATTCCGGGTCAGCATCTCCAGTCCAGCCGGACCTCGCCCGGCCCCGCCACGGCCTGGTTGGGCTTCCGGAACGACACGACGTGGCTGCCGACCATGAAGGCGGTCACCCGCTCCGACACCCGGATGTCCTCCATCCTCAGCTCCTGCAGCTTCCGCACGTACTCCGGCACGTGCAGCAGGTCCCACACGACCCCGACCCCGCCGGGCTTCAGTACCCGGACGAGCTCGCCCACCACCCGCATCCGCTCCGCCGCCGCCTCCACCGTGCGGTGGCCGTGCTCCTTCCCCACCGTGTGCACGAACACGGCCGACGTCACCACGTCGAAGTAGTTGTCCGGGAACGGCAGGCTCCGCACGTCGCCCTCCCGGCACGTGACGTACTCCTGCACACCTGTCATCCATGGATGTTGTTAGCGACCATATGATTGGATCGGTAATGAACACGGGAAAAAACCATCGTGCGGAACGTCAAGGGAAGAATTGTGGGACAAATTGGACAAGAAATCGACGAGTTATATCTCGTGCTTAACGTAATTCTCGAATGTAATAAATAGCTTTTAATTCTACCTTCCATCTTCGCCGTCCGGAGAGTGGCAAGCGCGGCGCCCTTGCCCGGCGCCAGCCCGACGACCCGGCCTGAACTGCCCGTCTTCTTCAGCTGGGTGGCCACCGCGTTCAGGAGCAGCCCCCGCCCGCACCCGAGGTCCAGCGCGTTCCTCACCGCCGACCAGTCGCTCACGGCGTTGACCATCCGCTGCGCCATCTCCTGGTGCAGCGGCACCGCCGAGTAGAGGAAGTTCCCGGCGGCGAAGAAGAGGCAGACGGCGGAGATCGCCGTCACCGCCCCGGCGAACCCGGCGGCGTACCGGGCCCCGCCGGGCGAGGAGAGGGAGGACTCCAGGTAGCCGCAAATCGGGTCGAAGTAGAGGAGGAAGAGGAGGGAGAGGAGGGAGAAGAGGACGGCGTGGAACAAGAGGAAGAGCAGGGTCTGCCACTGGTCGACGCCGTACACGGCATAGATCTGAGCCCAGTCTTTGCTCGCCGACGACGACGATCGCTTACCCATGTTCGAACCCAGTCTCAAAAATGGCAACTTTATGTCGATAGAGGATTAAAAATTGCTCCTTTATGGATTCGAGGTCGGGAAGAAATTGAAGAGCTCCCTTTCAAATTTGAATTACGAAGGGCAAAAATAAATGTGGGGGTCGCTGTGTTGGAACCGGGGATCGAGGCTGCGAAGAGAGAAGAGAATGCAAAGTGGTGGAGCGAGATGCTCCCTTTCTGAACTGTGGTGCTTTGTCGTTTTAGGAGTGAAGTAGCAGGAGCAGGGGTGGGAGTGTACCCCCAACCTTAAAACCTGTTCGCTCTCAGAGTGAATTCAAAGCAGACCCAGAAATTGCAGGGGATCTGTTTGGTGGGGGGGGGATCCCAATACTCAGAGAAAAATCAAGTACGGGAAGCTCCCTGGTCTTTAGGATCAGAGCTCGGTGATTCAAACATGGAAGGAGGAGTAGGAGGAGAGAGGAGTGAAAGTGAGAGACAGAGGTGCTAGAAAGGGAAGGCGGATGAATGACGACGGTGATATCGTATAATGGGTGCGAGACTTTTGGGTACAGGAACGCGCTTTGTCTGCGTCAGCTTGGTGTTACCAAAACCAACTTGCTGTCAAAACAAAACTCGAGGATTCAGTGGCTACTTCTCTACAGTACCCATATTTCAGAGAAAGAGAATGAGAGGAGTGAATGGTGAGAGGGAGAGAGGGAGAGAGGGGGGCGATACATAAATACGAGAGGGAAACCGCAACCGGGTCTCCTCCTGCTGCTGCTGACCGGGGCGAGTACGACTTAGGATTTCCGTATTTGAATGGTGCTGGTTGGTAAGAAAAAGCCCCCTCCTTTGACGTGGTTTCTCTTGCAAAATGGCGTGAAATTCTTGTTAACCGTACGCATCAATTATAGTCATACGTGATCTCGAATCTTTGTTTCGATACCCATATCGACATCATGTTTGTCAATTGGAATTCGGGATGAGCCGCTAATCTCGGCGAATTATGATGCGTCTGCGAGCGTTGAAAGCGAAAGCGTTAGGTGCCGCTTGTAGTTTTTAGCCCATCGAGAGTTCGATTGGAGGGAATACAAAGAGGGATAAACGACAAGGGTCGCAAAGCAATCTGTGTAAGTAGTCTTTCGACGTGGCCCGAATAGGCTTTTTTGTATTCGTGATTTTGGCGAAGCAACAATCTTTTCACAAAGGTCACGTTCTTGACCGGCATGTTCCCTTTGATATTGAGCCATGAAGCTTCGAGTCTCTCTCTCTCTCTCTCTCTCATTATCACTCCCTCAAATTTTGGCACCAATCTTAGGGACCCGCCTCACACTCCTATTTCCCAGTCTTTTGCTTTCTACCTCTTCACTTAAGCTTTGATTTGGGTGGGCACTCGTTACCAAAGGCAGTTCAATTAGGAACGGTAATTTCAGTAACCGGGTGCAATCCAATCCAATCCAATCCTATAGTGAGGGAACTATTAATTAGGAAAATTGTCCTAAAAATCATGTATCTACCGTACGCGTCCAATTCAATCATAAACTTTTTAACCTGGCAAATTTAATTCTAAACATTTTGATGATTTGCTAGTATAGTTTTTCTTACGTACGAATCGCATGCATAAAAAGGAAACTATGTGGGCAATGCACGCTCGTCTTCATAAATCGTGTCGCTAACTTAACACGACACGACTGGGATTACAGCATGCTCCGTGAGCATTTTCGTCGGCAAAGGGGTAAATTCTGGAAAGTAATGAACGTGGCTGGGGCCCCCCAAGGTTTTCCAAAGAGGAAGTATGGAAAAGTAAAACGCGGGAATCATAGAAAGCGACCCAGCTAAGCAAAGATTGGGATATCACGTCGACGACGACGGTCTCTGTATGTGCATGTCACCTCCGTTCGACGAGCTTTGTGATGCTAATCTGGGTAATTATCTAGAGTCCCGTCCCTATTTCACCACCTGTCATTTCCAACAAGCTCGATCCAGGTTTCGCCGAAGGTGAAGCCGGGAAAATTATCGAAAAAAAAAATTATCCTAAAACTTATTGCTCTTATTTCGATTGAGTTTAAAATTTTTTAACGTTTTCTCAATTTAGTTCATATGATCAGTTTTTCCCGAAAATCGCTGATGTGGACGCAGATCATCCTACGTAGCACGTCTGCCGGTGCTGACGTGAACAAGTTTTTTCAATTTTTTTGAATTATTGATTTTTCTTTTCCTTTTTTTCTTTTTTCCTCCTTTTCTTTCAGCTTTTTTAGATGTGGCCAGCAAACTATGGTAAGGGTCGTGAAGCCATCGCCTGTGGCCACGATGGCCTTGGTGAAAGGAAAAAGAAAAGAAAAGAAGGAACAGAGAAGAAAAGAAAAAATAAAAGGAAAAATAAAATAAAAATAAATGGAAACTTTAAAATTTTGGAAAAAAACTTTCACGTCAGCGTCGGTTGGCCGGCATTTACGTTAGCAATTTGCGGCCATAATTGGCCAGATGGGCTATATTGGCAAATTGTCAAAATGTTCATGACTAAATTGACCAAATTGAAAGGTTTTAAACTGAATCAAAACAAGTGCAATAGGTTTTAGGATTTTTTTGGTAATTATCCCCGTCTAGACCTCCTCTTGTGACTTGGGTTGAGCTGTCGGTTTTATATGCACTTTCGCCTCTATCCTTCGAGCTCTGCAATTCAGTTTCGCCTATTTCGTTCGTTCACTAGTAGTGTTCTGGTTTTCGATGGAGATGATTCCGATTTTATTGTTTAGAACACGTGCACGAGGACAAGACATCATCAGAGAAAGACCGACTCAGCCCACTCCCACCAGATGAACCGGTCCACTAATTTCCAAGAGTCCGGATCTCATCTCAGGAAACGATTTTTATATTCGCGTGGGAATTCTATAGATTAGATTCATTCCCATGTATTGCATGGCATCCAATGCCACTTGTACTTTTCTTCTTCTCCTTACAAAGTTCATCAAATACATTTTTGCAATGCCCTTCTGAATTGGTCTTGGACAACTTCATTGTCTTCAACGAACTCGAGTCTGTCTTGCCTTCGAAGACCTAAGCTCGCATGGTTTAAGTTCTCCTTTAGATGGCTAATTCAGTTATTTTCTGTTCCTTTTCTGGTAAAAAAGACTGGGCATAGTTTCATCTCCGAGCAACAGAGGAAGTAAAGCTGTAGATGGTTGTGGACCTGTAAGTTATCAGGCGGGACAGTAGTTTGAGTTCTCAAACTTTTGAAATGACGATTAAAATGGATCCGTCCTTCTGGTCTGATGTATATGAGGTCAGGAATTCAGGGTGAACTTACTTTCTTATGGGTTATATAGCCCAGGATATAACATCGGTAGTTTAGCGGTGATAATTTTCGATGTCGGGACTTCGTTCACTACAAAGTCGAAGAATGTGTACAAATCATAAAGAATAAGAGAGCACCTCTGCAACTTTGTAATGCCCCAGTTAGAACCAAGGGTTCTGTCTTTCTATACAAATTTTCTTCCTAGCTCAATGTGCTAATCTTTCTGTAACGGACCACTAAATCATGAGTACAAGAGTATCAGTATTAACAGCAAAAGAAGAGTTATGCAAACATTTGTTCCTAGTAAGCCATAAACAGTAGGTACACGCAGACCGTGACAGCTTAAACGGCAACCGAGGCAAGCAAGATAGACTTCCACACACCTTAAAAGAAACATGACAGCAAAGCACAGATGGTTCCTGTCCTCGTTGGCCGAATTACACAGACAGCAGAACGGATTGACTTGCATATTCCACTTGAAAAGCCTATCTTTAGTGGCCAAGCTGTTGAGTATGGAGTGCACTCCAAGCCCTGCCCACACTAAAACTCCCCGAGGTAGCAAGAGTCCAAATAGTTCTATTAGGAACAAAGAATTGGGTTGAATGTACTCACAAAGACCTTCTCGGGTTTCCACCAAAGCTTCAGACCTAGCTGGTCAACACCAACATGAATCATGTGTGACATCAGACACTTTCAACTGAAAACGCAAAGCAGAATCGTGCATGGTGACCAGAAGACCAAGGGGATGCCAGTCATCATGCCATAGAAACGAACACTTGCCATCTCCAATAACATGCTTTGTATAATGTCGAGTAGTATCTCTATGCTTCAGGATTGTCCTCCAAACATAAGAGGAATGAGCTGAGATCGGCAAAGTCCAAAAGAATCTGCCCTTCGGCTCATATACTCTCAACAAAAGTAACCCAAATGGAATCGTAACGTGTCGTAAAACCTTATTTATTGGTACAGAATGTAAGGGCCATGTTAAATTGCATTGATTGGTCACTAAAAGAAATACTTAAAAGGATCAGAATGCTGGAAGTCACGGTCGGATCTTGAATCTGGAATTCACATACTAAATGGAATGACGCATTTTTTTTTTTGGGCAGCTCCATTGATTCTTACCAAGATTTGGCAAAGGAATTCTGGACTAAGAACGTGGGGGTTGGCGTTATTTACGAAGTTAGTGTTGACACGGTCCCCAGAACGACAAAGAATTGAATTAGTAATGGTTAATCACCTGAACGGACAAGCACATATTATTATATACTTGCTGCTTATGACTTAAACATACTCATGACCAAGCCCAATTGATTATATTATTATCATGTTTTAAGATGACGATGAAAGAGAGAATAAAGAATTCTCCGTTGACTAGGTGCCATTTAATAGTTCAAAACTTCACACTAAGTCTAGGGGAAATTACCAACATGTCATAGGGGAAATTAACTTTCCATCTCTCTCTCTCATCTTCAGTTTTTCATTACCATTTTTTAAACAAGACTAAGGAGATGCAAAATGAAGGTTTTGAAATGTGAGAATGGTATTTAATAACGAGCGTAAGGTCGAGGATGATTTTTGCAATTATCTTCTTTTGTTTGTTTTTCCAATCTGTTCATGCAACTTTCCCCAGATTAACAGCTCACTGTGGCTACTCACGCCCCTCGTTTTCATTTTAGGGTTCGTCAATGCCTGATTTCACAGCTTACTGGGGATTTTGCATCTTTGTTTGTTGTCTCAGCTCAAGGGTCTCTGTAGGTTTTTCTCGTTTTGTTTAGCGTTTGACAATCAATCTTGACTAGGGTTTGTTACTTCGGTTATTCTCCAAAGTGTGAGTAGTCCTTTTATTTCGGTGGTGGTGGTACAATATGCTTGTTCTACTCTATGATAGGAGAAAGTAAAATCTTCCATTGGGTGATATGATATACGGTATGTTGGAGGTTACACTGACTACTTCCTTGAGACCGTCATCTCTTAGAAAGATTTTGCTTAGTCTTTTTCTAGGGAATATAACATTGCGAAGCTGCATTTCTGGCTAAAAGAAAAGGACTAGTGGTAATGCATTTCCCAATTGCTGCAATGTGTCAGAACTCAGAAGAAATCTTATGTTGAACTACATGTTCCCTCTAGTGAGCAGCTTTCTATAGACAGCCATATTGCCAGGTTTCTTTAGGCAATCTTGTTTGAGCTACTTCATTGGTACCTTATCTCATACCTGTCTGTGGTTGAATGAGAATTGAAAGGCTAATCTGATCCTACAGTTACTAGTTGGTCCAAATGGGTTTGGAGCTTGCTACGCTGAGGGCACTCCTGGAGGAGTTACCTGAGAAGGTGGAGCTTCTCAAGAATGTGTGCGCCATCATTGGAGCCTGCTCTGAGGCCTTGAACTATCAGAACCATTTGACTCAAAAGATGGACATTCTGGACAAAAAGGTTGAGCATTTGAGTAGCTTGGAGGAGGACGTTATCTCAATTCTGCGACATGATGAGTGCCGTTGTGGATGTAAGCGGAAGAGAGATGGAGAATTGGTTGAGAAATATAGAGAGGAAGAGAAGTGACGTCCGCATCCTAAAGCGAAGGGCCGGAGAGAGGAAGGACTCATTCCAGGTGTGGATGTCAAACTCTCTCGAGAGAACATTCAAGAAGCAGAAGATCTTCTTAAGCAGGGGAAATTTTTGGAGGGACTTGCAGTCAATACGCAACCAACTAGCGAGAGGGCATCGCTAACCACTCAACTGGTGGGAGATTTAACTGAAAAGGATTATAGAAAAATTATGCGCTTGTATAAACAATGATGGAGTGTTGGAGATCGATGTTCACGAGGAAGAGGGAGTCGGCAAAACGGCCATTTTGATGCATGTTCACAACAGGCTCTTGAGCAGAGGCAGTTCCTTTGATCATGTGTTCTGGGTCACTGCATCAGACAGTCTCAGCATCCGAACATTGCAGAAGGAGATTGGGAAAGCAATAGGATTTGACCTTAAAGACGAAGAGGAGATATTAAGAGAAGGGCAGCAAAATTGCATGTGGAGTTGACAAGTAAAAAAGACGCTACTCATTTTGGACAACTTGATTAAACCATTTTTGACAATTGACGTTGGGATCCCGACTCACACTAGTGGATGCAAACTGATTCTGGTGGCTAGATCTTTGAAGTTGAGCATCACAATGGGTTGCCAGGAATGTTTCCAAGTGGACCCTCCAAATGATGAAGCAGCAGAGAAATTGTTCAAGGAGAAGCTGAGCCTAAGATGTTCTCTTTCTCCGGAGGTTCAAGAAATCGCCGAGCTGATTGTTAAAGAGAGTGGCAGGGTTCCCCGTGTCCCTATTTCAATGGCAGAGAGGATGAAGGGAGGACATGATATCGGGGAGCGGAGAGATACACTTGAAGAAGTGAGAGATCATATAAAAGGGGATCCCCAGGCTCGTGATGCAACCCTTTTCGTGCATGTGATTTACTTGCTGCTGTGTCGCCCAGAGCGTAGGCAATGAGGACACGTAAAATAATGATTCTCCTGATGATTAGAATGTTGGTGATTCACAGGAACTGTGAACAGCAAATTATGGCATATGGCTAGATGAAATGGTAATATCTGTGTGAATTCTGCGCATGGAAGTGCTGTATTAAATACTTCAGATATGGCTCATCTGTAAGTGTAACATTAGTTTGCTTATAAATCCAGTTAGAGGTTTTTAACTGGTGTAGCCATCAGTTATGTCTAGATGTTAAATGTTCACTAAAATACATAAACTTGCTCCTTCCGAATGATAATTTTCCAGCTCTAATCTCCAAAAGTTACAGCATGTTGATGAAGGATGCCTACTGTATCTGAATATTGCAATTCCCCGTACAATGCCTATTTTATGAAGTTGATAATTGCCATTGGAGTTCTACTCTTACGTGCATGGTCATGTCATGCGCCTCAATTACAATAACAACCACTCGTGTTATCTCAGATCTTCAAGGAAGAAATCATGTGAGCCTGTAATTCGCCGCACAGCATATTTTGATTGGCCTCACGAGCATGATGTTAAATTGCAGAGCATGATGTCAAATTGCAAGGCAAAATGAGAAAGTCTGCATTTTCATTAACCAAAAAGTCTCCTACTGTCTTTGCCTCTGCAAATTTAGAAAAGAGCAGTTCTAACTAAAGAATCAATTGCTGATCACCCAATACAATGAATAATATTCTGTTTGATATGAATCTATATCTTTGAGATCACAAGCGCAGCTAAACGAAAGTTTTCCAAGGACTTACACGAGCTAATGCAGGCCATCAAATCCTTACCAGTTGAGAAAAGTGTACATTGTTGTCTAGTGAAGAAAACGAAACGCTTAAATCGTGTTCTATGGAACAACTTGACTATCCAGCGATATAGCATCATCATTAGATTGGTACGCAATGAAGAATTCACAACATGAGCCATCAAGCATATAAGGATTATGTTAACAAGTGCTTCGAGGGCATTTGTTTAACATCCAAGTAAGAAAACTTTATAATTTCCAATGCTCTTATTTCTCTCATATTATGCACAATCAGTGCCTCAAAAATCAAACTATCCCAAATAAAATAAACTTAACTAGTGTCCCAGGGCCCTGGTCAACATGAATCCCATAAAATCTATTGCTTGCACCTTTTCAACTGAAAGCAAAAACACTGACTTCAGGTATATTTCGCGACTGTTATGCACAAAGCTAGGGCAAAATCCATCTTAAATATCATTTATGACGATATTGAGCAACATATACAAAAATTAGATGCCCAATCAACATTCTTTTCTTATATACCATCAGTATAGCTTTGTGAAAGCCCATATCCTCAAAACACTGAACTAGCTTCATTCCCGCTTTTCTTTAGAGCACGTTAAAATCTGAGCAATGCAGGTGAGCAGTAGCAATACAGCATGCCTTCCGAGCAGATTATTTTCCTGAAATAATTCAAAATGATTCATGTATGAGAACCACCAAACAATCTAAGATACTTATATCTACTGATCCATTCAAGTAGACTTGAAAAACAGAACCAGCCAAATATAAGCATGTTACATAGAGCACATAACATTTGGTTCAAAGTGTCCAGAAGATAAGAAGAGGAATTTGGAGAATGATCATAAAAAATGGATGAGTAAGGCCTCAAAATGAACCTACAAATAGGAGATGGCAAGATGATAAATATAATCATTGATTGTAGAAAATTCACAATGATCTTCAGCTCATATTCGTAAAGAAACTCCAACCTTCACCTGGACGTTTCAACCTAAGTACCAAAAAAGAGAACCTCAAGCTAAAAGTAGGAGCCTTATCATTTTCCCAAAGTTTACCTTTGGTTTTCCGCCCAAAAAGAAAAAAGCTTAACCGACTCGGATAAACGAAAGAAAAGACAGCTTATTGATTTCAATAGGAAAATGGACATTGCTTCTAATGGGTTTGTTTCTGAAGCATCTCAAAAGAGTATACTTCTGTGTGCCAACTAACTCTAACGACTGCACCTTTACAAAGAGAAAAATCAACAGCCAACTGAGATCGCTAATAAGACAGTTCCAGGCTAATATATTTAACCAAGTGCAAACAACCAAACCGTGAAAAAATATTTACTCGACATGTAGCAACCTTCAGTACTAGCATGCAGAACAAACGTGACACTAGGTAAACATATAACATAGCATAACACATCCAAGCCAACCTCCGCAGCAGAAAAGAAATTGTTGTTTCAGGAAAATTACCTTGCCATCATTATTAAAGTTCAGTGGTTGTCATAATGATCACATGTTTTACAAGGTCCTACAGATTTGAGGAATCCCAACTAGCATAAACAGCACCAACAATTTTTTCGTGAAGTGTAGAGCCACAGCAAACAATGATTCCCCGGTCAAGACCTTCTAAATAGATTCCCCTGGAGAAATCCAAGGGTTTTCCTCCCGCATCAGTCACCACACCACCTGCCTCTTGCACAATAACGACACCAGCTGCGTGATCCCATATTTTTTCTTTGTATCCACATCTTGCAAATTTCATAAATACCTCAGCATCTCCTCGGGCTATTGCTGCATATTTGACCATGCTGTAGACACGCAGTGGCTGCTTTCTGCCATAACAGATAGGGGAAATCTAGATAAGATTGACTATTACATGATATAGTTAGAATTTGGGGTACATACTGTCTTTAAAATTTATCAGTTCCATGCTTCATTTAGAAATAAATAAAGCATCAGCAGCTTTATCCTATGTTGGCTAATCACCCATCCACTAAGATTGACACAACCATCATGTCAATCACCAGTCCTTAAGTGACAACTAACTGAAAGAGGTCAAATGAAACGAACCTGAGTCCAACACTGCGAGCAAGTCCTGCTGCAAACGATTGGTTTGAATTGGCCTTCTCAACCGGCTCACAGAATGTAGCCAGAGCAGGATCATCAACAGAAGAAACCTGGATCAATCTGGCCTCATACTGTGATTCAAAATTCACATTTCCACGGAGTAGTGGCTGCATCCATGCCTTACCACTGCCCCTCTTTGCATACATCACGCATCCTTTCTCCCACGAATCATTGGTAGCTGGGGAGGTGCTTTGATAGTAATGGTGATGATAATTCAGCCACTCTCTCTTCATTGGGTAATTTGGACATCCTAGCACTCCAATGATGATTTCCCCATCCTCAATCAAAGCTAAAGCTACAGCATACTGATTTCCTCGCACAAACCCCAAAGTTCCGTCCACAGGGTCAAGCACCCAATGCCTTCCCTCTGGACCCCCAGTCGAGTTGCATCTCTTGATGGCCTCGAGAACTTCTTGGGTAGTGAGGTGTTTATCAGGTTTTTGAAGACCAAAATTAGGCGCTTCATCTAAGCATTCATTGACTGCATCAACAACAGCCGATAGCAATCCTGCTGAATCGCTTTTGCAAAGAGCTTGAACATCTTCCTCGGCAACAATTGATACACTCTGACTTCCAAAGACCTCTGATAGTAACCAGCTTACAGTGGCTTGAACACCCCAATCTATGCAGTAACAGCTTCATCAAAATTTAGGTAATCAAGAATAAAGAGGCAACCAAGAACAACTATCATATCATGTTATCTAGTAAGCAATTAACATACGTGAACAATAAAATAATGGAGTCGATGACAATCCAAGACAAAGAAAACCTCTGCAGCTCATGCCTTTTACCACTGCTTGAGATACTAGCTGAAATCTCGAGGCACCAGCGCATGATTTGCCCGCATAAAAACTCGTAGCGATCAAACACAGGCAGTCTGGACTATTTCAGCATGATAATTCAACATTAACCAGTGGAATGCCAAGTAAGGATCATTTCGGCAGAAGAAGTCGGATTCAATTTCTATACCTTACTGGATAAGTTTGTGTCTTCGAGGAACGATAATACTATGATAAATGGAAGAACACGATCGTAAACACTTTCGGGTGAAAAGGGCTGTTCTCTTCTCCCTCGAACTCAGTTTTTATAGGTACATAGAAATATCCCATAAAAAACTCCGCAATGACGAGAACAATTCTTATTTTAAAAATCACAGCCTAATATATTTATGTTGTATGATTGCCATCAACACACATGTGTATGACTGGTCTACGTTAGAATATTAAAACGACTAGTGGCTATACAAAATAAAATCAGTAACCTCCAACTATACGACGTCATCAGCAAGCGAAAGCAGCCCAACAGTTGATAATCTTAAAATGCAGGATTGAGCAGAGTCTGCAATTACGGAATCCAACAAATTTGTGAAACACTCATCGATGCGCTTCCGATCGCAACATCCCATTTGAAAGCCCGACCAAATGGGCAAAAGCCGAACAACCCAGATAACCCCACAAACGAAAAGCTTTAAATTCAAGGACGGGGAGGATAAACAGAGAGATACCCGCGACAGTAACCGGTGAATCGTCATCCTTAGACTTGACCTCGTCACTGGACCTTGAAATTAACCCGCGTTGCACTCTCCGGCACAGGGAGCACGCCATGTGAACTGCTTTCACGGCCACATCCAACTCCTCCGCATATTTTTCGCCCTCCATGGAGATAAAGAACAGAACGAAAACAAACAAACAAACAAACAAAAAGATCCAATATTTTGGCAGGAAATCGAGAATGGAAAATGACCCTGTTCTTGAATCTCCAGTCACATGACGAGGACTGTAGATTTCACATACGAAATGAGACCTTCGTGCAGAAAATCCGTGAAGAATTCGGCTCTCATTGTGAAGAGTGGTCGGACATTGGCCCTGGGTTTCCTTTCCTTTGCTTTTGGCGAAAGCGAAGCAACCGGATGCCCGTAATGGTATCGCGTGAGAAAGTGACAGCGTTGTTCATGTGCATTTTGTACCGCAGCATAGCATACTGCACCAAACCCAAAAACTGGCCTAATTCAATATAAAGAACGTCACGAGGAACGATTCTGACCCGAATTTTTTTACTTTTACTTGAATCTTAAATTTGACTTCGTTGACTTGAAATAGTTAATTGTCCAATGTGACTATTCCACCTATATTCGCGTCGCTTGCTAGCTAGATTTAAAGTATTGTACATTACCTTCTTTTCTGAATCATAATTTGAAGAATAATGGTAAAGTTGTTCATGGTCTCCTTTATTTCATTGACGAGTCAAAAAGATCTTCATGTTGAATCTCTCCAGTCAGGCTTCACCATTTCATCGTAATATGAAGTTGTGAACCACCACTCATGGATGAGATCTGCCAAGCTCACGATCAAATTTTTTTTTCTTGAAACAAACCTAAGCCCTCCGCTTGAAATATTGAAGTCTACTAATATCCATTGATCTCATTTAATATATCGTACTCTAGAAATTGATATTAATAAATGGATTTTGTTGGGAAGTATAGTGCTAATCATGTGCTTTGCCAAAGTACTTCTAACAATCTACAAGATCTCAACCTTTGGTTAACGAGGGTCGGATTTGAAACTTGAGTAAAAGTTAATGATTTTTAGGGAAATTTCCAAATAAGAGCTTGAAGTGGACCTTGTTTCAAATAAACACAAGAAGTACCATCGTTTTCTCAAATAAGGGAATGAAATGGATTTTATTTCAAATATGGGTCTAAAGTAGCTATATCAGTCTCAAAGAATCGTCGGCCAAAGAGCATTTTCGTCCTTTACTTTTTTGAATTTTTTTTCCTCTTTTTCCTCTTTTTATTTCTTTTTATTTTATCTTTTTCTATTTTTTTTCCTTTCCTTTTTCTTTTCTTTTATTTTATTTTTTCTTTTCCCCTTTTCCCTCCGTCGGGCCTTGTTGATGGCTAGCAGAGATCATTGGACTGAGGCGAGGGCCGCGGCGTCAAGCGAGGGTCACCCTTATCGAATCTAGCAAGGGTCGCCCTCTCCCGCCTAGCCTAGGTGAGGCGATCCTTGCCTGGCCTAGCTAGTACAACCATTGCCAGCGTAGGCAAGGGCCACCCTTGCCTGAGTTCGGCGGAGGTGCAACGATGGCAGGGGAGGGAAGAGGGAAAAATAAAAAAATAAAAGAAAAGAAATGGCAAAGGAAAGAAAGTAAAAAAAATTTAAAAATATATACTTTGAATTTTTTTTATTTCGATGTCCAAAATAGTCACATATTAGCTATATAACCAAAAGTCCTTATTTGAGACGATTTGGCCACTTTATGCCATTATTTAAGAAAATGAGGGTATTTTAGACCCTTATTTGAAATTTTCGATCAGAATTATCAGTCAAGGTAAAGTTTGTGCTTTTTTGAGGAATTAGCGCCCAAAAACTATCCTTTTTTTTGGTTGTTATTCGGGGACATCTCTTGACTCTAACATCATCAGTTCAGATAAAACATATTTTATCATTAATTCATGGATTGTAATACACAAACTCAAATGATTCATATCTAACGTGATGTAATAGTCAACAAAACCAAACACTATCCATCGAGATGACCATCCCACCCAGAAAAAATGACAAACCGAAACAAAATAAAATGATCATCCGCTTTTTGATTAGAATAGTCATATGTGGATGAAATGACATTCTTTCTCTATTAGTTATCAAATGAGAGTAACTCAAACCGTGCAAAGCTCGTTCTTTCGTTATCCGGTCATCAATTTATTAATAGTTTCTACATCATAATATAGATAAAACGACACCAGTGGTCCCTCTATTTTTACCTGAAATTCAAAATTATCCCTTTACGCTCGTAGCATCCATGACCGGTGGTCGCTCAAGCTTGCTGCGTCCATGGTCGCAATCTCACTCAGGTCGAGCGAGCTCGCGGCATCCATGGCTGCTGGCCACTCTAGCTTGTGGCCATGGCCACCAGATTCGAGAGGGACGACAGCAAGCGATATGGTTAACGTCGGCTCGGTTGTCCAAGGCTAACGGGCCAATGGCAGTGGCCTGCAATGAGAAGGTTTGGATGTGAGTGATTTAGGTCTTTTTGGGTTGACGATTTGGCACCAATGTGGCAGGACCTAAAAATTGAGCGTCTTACAAGATGGCACATGTACACTCCAATGGTCCGTGTTAGCAATCCGACGTTCGACGGTAGCAAAGAGTATAACGGAAGGACTAATGGTGAAACACTTCAAAAGGTGAAAGGACGAATTTAAACAGAAAGTATAGAAGAAACGGTTTTGAATTTCGGGCAAAGGTGGAGAGATCACTGTATGATCTAAATTATCTTACTCGGTGAATGTCATGGATGCCTATTGTTATACTTCATAACAACTCCATAGTCTATGTACTAGCACGAAGTGCATATTTCTCGAATTAAAAGTGAAATAAAATCCTCTACGAATCACTCCAAATCAAACGGGGAAACACCATATTTCTAATCCATCCCAATCTTCCGATGGAGGCGAGGAAGTCGGTGGTGGTCATCACTCGGCGCCGGGTTCTATCCACAAAGGTGTGGTGGAATTGGGATAATGCGGCACGCCGCCGGAGAAGAGCGGGTCGATCTGGCCGTCGACCATGTGATAGATGCCCATGTCTTTGCCTCAGGCATGCTTGCACATACGATCGTCCGCGAAGTATATACAGTCGGGCTCGATACCGCGATGTTGATCGCTAACCTCCACGGAGAAAGACGAGTCGAGACCCAGAAACAGAGATGCATTGCCCAAGCTGTCGACCTTGGTCCAAGTGTTCGCTTCCAAGTCGAGCAAGAAGGCTCGAAAACGGGAGGTCACGAACCGGGACCCTTGTTGCCATTCTTGGGAGACCACCAACAACGATCTGCGGCACTCAACGAGATAATGCTTCTTGAAGTGCTCGAGGTCGACCAATCCGGGCGGCCTCCGCGCCACGACACGGCCATCTGTATCGGGATTCAGTCCGTCTTGTCTCACGTCGAACGCCCTAATCATTCCCCCCGCGTCCATGGCTAGGAAGCTGCCTTTGTGGTAAATTAGGTCCATGTATATCCTGTAGGGGCTTACCACGGTCCACGCTTGGTTTCGGTAGTTCCATGTCCCAAGCCGCCGGTTGGCATCGCAGAGAACCATGATCTCAAACTTCGCGGGCGAAAAGGGGCACGCCGAGAGCACGCATGTACAGATGCGAGTGTTGGTGATGGGGCCTTTTTCGCCGCCCCAGTCCTTAAAGCCCGAGAGTTTAGCAGGGTGGCGCTCGCGAGATATAGGATTGAACATCTCGACGTCCCCGTCTCTTCCGATCGTCATAATCCAACCACGCGAGGACAAGCACCTCTTGGCCCGCACTTCCGGCAAGGGGAACTCGTAGAAGCTCTGCCGCTGCGGCATGAAGAAGCCGCATAAGTCGGGACGTGTCTGGTCCGTGATCATCAGCCACGGGATGCCGATCCTCGGCTGGAAACTTCCCAGGAGTTGGACGGCGACACTGCCCCAGTACGGACATGTTTCGCGGAAATCGATCGGGTCAGCGATGGGTAATCTAAATGCGATGAGTTCGAGCAGATGCGAGGGGAGATCCGACCAGTCACCCGCCATGGTGGTATGGAAGCAGGGATTTCTCTGATCTGTCTTATTGATTCTTCATGACGATGGGATCACAAGCAGTGCGTATACATATATAGTGTTGGATTAGGAAACTGTATCAGGAAACAACACATGAACCAGATCACAGCTGGGCTAGGAATGCCTGATGTTACGAATCCAAGTACGAGTTGGAAAACCAAAAGCCTTTGTTGCGGTTTTTATTTTAGGGGTTAATACAACGAAAAACTCCAAACTGGTACAATTGTGACTAATTTACCCTTAATTAATTTTCGTTAAATTGAATTAATATCTTTATACCATAGCCATTGAATTTCCAACAACCACCGGTACACATGTAACAAACAGAGAGTAAAATGTACATCCGTCAATTGCCATATGCATCCAATTTAGTAATTTGACGGTAAAATTTAACAGAAACTAACGGAGGGTAAATTTGTCACAGGTGTACTAGTTTGAGATTTTTTGTCATCAAAAAATTGGTTTTGGGTAAATTTATCGCAAGTGTGCCGGTTTGGGGTTTTTCATGATATTAACCCTTTTTTTAAAAAAAAAATTCTAGAACAACCTCATCTTCGGTGTTTATTTGAGAAAGTGAGAAAATCTTATGCATGTAATTTCAATGCATAGTTGCAATTGCATATGAAGTTTTTGTATTAGTAAGATTTGGAATGCATTGGGCTCACATGTACCTCGGCGCACCAATAATTGTCTCATTGGCGCAACTTAAAGAGCAAGTTTCGAGAAAATAAATCATAGTTAGAATGGTTAAGGTAGATTTATACGTGTAGTATTTTGAAGGAAATGAAATATCCATAATAAGTGAGCATATATAATTCGATTTTCAATAAGAATTTGCTATATTAGTTAACGTTTCGAGTTTGTTAATGTGGCATTATTCAACAAGTCACATGTTGCACAATATAATAACGAAAGTATTCGTATTATACTTGTAACCGCCACGGTTTGAGGGACATCTCTAGACTCTTACCTTACATTATACCTCTACGTACACCAAGGATCACATACATACCTGTACATTTGTTAATGCTGAGGATATACCTGAGTTTTACTTTTAATGTAGTATTATTCACAATTATCCTAAAATCTACCTGAATTTTAATCAACAAGATAAAATTGGCCTCAATCATGCAATTGCAGCTAAATTTATTGACTTTCGTCCTTTTTTATTTTTTCTATTTTTATACTCGATCTAATTGCCAAAATTAAGAATTTCACATGTTTTATTATTGTTTATTGTGGGCACTATGTCTTCCTTTTTAATGTTAGCTGTTAGTTCCATAGAAATTAGTTTTCTCGAAAAGGAAAATTTCAAAAAACCTAATTCTTTTCCAATGTTTTCAAGCAAATTAATAGGTAAATTGTCAAGTAGAATCTAGAAAAAAAATTTACAAAGACAATTTTTAACAAAATCACTTGCTTATATTTTTTTTTTGTGCATATCACCATCAAACATTTTGTTATCGGTTGTCTTTTATATACATATACATATAATGGAATGATAGGATGAAACAAAAAAAAAACCCTTTTTAAAGATTTTTCAAAAATCATAATTACATTCTCTAACGTGATCGATTTCAATGGGACGTGTACCCGTTGGCGCACAATCGCGGTCCGGCTCTCACCTAGCTGATGATTGCAGATGAGAAGCATCATCCCGGATCAGGTGGTCTAATGTGAGTAGTCTTTGCCAGAAGTGAAGGCATCTTCATGGGGATGGATCATTCTAATTAGGGGTGATCGGTTCCCAGTACCAGGGTTCGGACTGATTGGTCCTAGGACCGGGAACCATCCAGTTCCGGTCCAATAGAGCCGGTCACTTCTTCTTTTTTCACATTTTACTAATTTTTTTTGAAGAAATATAAAAAATATATAAATGTAGTCGGTTCGAGAACCGAACCACCCAGACACTGATTCCATTTTCAGGAATCGGGGGAGCCGGACCAGCCGGTTCCTGATTCGGACGGTCCGTTCTGCACATCCCCTAATGGCAATCGGGCGTGAACGGGGATGTCCACAGGCTCGATCCTCTATCGCGTGGACGTCGGCCCGCCCATCTCCGGGCCTCGAGCGAATTCGCGAGGCTCATAACTTGTCAGGCCGATGCTCGAAATCGATCGTATCGCCCTAGAATCAAGCCCTCGAGAATCACCAGCACAAAGACGAGGATATCAAAGGTGCGGAACGCGAATCTTTCCCGCTTAGCGGGGGGCTCCATTCAACGCCGCCAAAGAGGAGGGACTCCCATCAGATCGACGTGATTGAAGGGGGGTTGCAGTCGACATTGACCGACGCAAGACCTAACCTAACCTCCTCCCGCGTCCCTCCCAAACGTTACGTTTACGTGTCGTCCCGGGGAATTTGCATGATTTGACTTTTAGCGGAGAAAAGACAAAAAAGCGGGGAAAGGAGAGAGAGAAAAAGGACGTGGGAAATAAAATAAAGGACGGTGATGGAGACTTTCTGGGCACAAGTGGGGAGTTGGCCATGTGCAGCAACGCGGCCGTGTTATTACAACTCGATTTCGACAGCTTCACACCGTCTTTACTAAGGGTCCTCCGTTTCCAAAGATTCCGTCACTTTGCCCCCCCTTCCCCCTATATGTTCGCACCGCCGTCCTTATTGAATGATAACATGAGTTGTGTCAGGGGTTAATTTAAAAAAAAAGCACCAACTTTAGTTCAAGGGATAATTTTGGCCCGAACTTTTTTTTATTCCATAAAAAAGCATCAACTTTAGGTCGAGGGGCAATTATGGCCCGAACTATTTTTTGTCCCATAAAAAAGCACCAACTTTAGGTCGATGGACAATTCTAGCCCGAACTTTTTTTTTTGTCTCGTAAAAAAGCACAAACTTTCACTTAAATCCCAAATCTGGCCCTTATTGACTTAAAACAATTGATTTTCCAACTTGACTATTCCACCTTAGCAATAAATTCACGTGACTTGCTGACTGGATTTAAAGCATTATTCATTGTCTTATTCTCTGAACCACAGCTTGAAAAATAACGGTGAAACTGTTCGTCTCCTTCACTTCACCGGCAAGTCAAAAATATCTCCAGATTGAATCTTTCTAGCCAAACTTCGTCGTTTTGTCGTAATCTAAAGCTGTAGACCACCGCCCGTCGACAGACGCCATGAAAGAGATTCGCCAGGCTCACCACCATAACTTTTTTTCTCAAACAAGGGTAACTTCAAACAGAAAGTCAATGGGGGGCCAAATTTGGGATTTAAATGAAAGTTGGTGCTTTTTTACGAGACAAAAAAAAGTTCGAGCCAGAATTGTCCCTCGACCTAAAGTTAATACTTTTTTATGGGACAGAAAAAAGTTCATGCCAGAATTGTCCCTCGACCTAAAGTTGGTGCTTTTTTTTGGAATTAACCCGTTGTGTTAGATAAGTCCTGCATCGAAAAATTGATACGGTGTGAAGCAGTTAATTTATAGGATTAATATAACGAAAACTCCGAATTGGCACACTTATAATAAATTTACTCTAAATTGATTTTTTGATCATAAAAAACTCCAAACTGATACGCCTGTGACATGATTTACCCTAAAAATCTTGAATTGGTACATTTATAACAAATTTACCCTCGGTTAAATTGGATTAATATAACGAAAATCACAAAATGGTACACTTGTACAAAACCCCAAATCGGTACACCCGTCAAATGCCACGTGTCATCTAACTCAGAAATTTAATTATAGAATTTAACGAAAACTAACATAAGATAAAATTGTTACGGGTATACCAGTTTTGGGTTTTTCGTGATGAAAATATTAGTTTAGGGTAAATATGTTGCAAGTGTATTAATTTGGAGTTTTTCGTAATATTAACCTTAATATATATCGCCTGGCTTATAATTCATTCGTTTAGGCTTTTGAATAGAGGTGGGTCCAATTGAGTATGTTGACGGGCTCGGACTCGTCCTCTTAGCGGTCTCCCGAACGAAAGGTATATTGAGCTTCTGTTACACGCTCCCAACAGTTCCAAACTTATTTTCTCTTTTTCTATTTTATTTTGAGCGCGTTTTTTGGGCGAAAGATCGATGACTTGAAAAATATTTTCCTTAACATGATCGCTTGTGTCGCTTACAAAAATGAATGAACAAAAAATATTTTCACTGTCTACGAAAATATTTATGAGCAAATTATTGTCGATAACGAAAATATTTATCACTGATTAGTTATATCGAGTGATATAAGTGATTATTCTTAGGAAAATACCTTTCATATCGTTCATTTTTTGTGAAACAAATGGAACTTGTGAGTTTCGAGCTCTTCCGCTGCTCGACTCATCTCTTCGCCCTATGCGACTGGACTCGATGCACCTCGGCTAAACTAGAATTGTAGCCCCTTATATTGGTCCCTGAATTTATTGCCGCAAGTGAAAGGAACAGCAAATAAATGCATGTTGTGTTGATGAACATTGTGGAAGTTGTTTTCGATGCTGATTGTTGTTCACGAGTTTTGAGTTGCTTTCCGAACAACTTTACAAGGGTGGGTCGGTTTAATTCATACAATTGACAAAGCCAAACCATGCCGCTCTTGTCGGTGCCGCACATCCACCGCCACCGTCGACCACGGTGTTTGCCGCTCCACCATCCATCGCCGATGCCGACGAGGGTTCCCACCAAAGCTGCGCGCCGCTCGCTCGCTCGCTTTTCCCATCCCTCATCTCGGACGAATCGAAGCAACTATCTCTCTCTATCGTCTAATGGGCGGTGGCACACGATACTCGATTCGTGCCATATGATACGCCTGATTTGAGGTCGCAACTATTAGGTTGAATCAATAATTTCCTTAATCGCAAGCGAATCTATCTATTCGCTAACTAATCTACGATTTCTGATACGTATCTATTGATTCAATCCATCCAATTCTTTTATAATACACTCAATTCTTGATTCGTTACGCGGTAATAAATGAAATGACAAACGAAGAATTGTAATTGCTATTCGAATGTAATTTTTATTTGGGTCAATACCATGAAAAATCCAAACTGGTATACCTGTGTCAATTTTACTCTCCGTTAGTTTCCGTTAAATTTTACAGTCAAATTTCTAAATTGGATAACACGTGGCAATTAATGGGTATACAAGTTTGGGATTTTACCCTCCGTTTGTCACAGGTGTACCGGTTTGTGATTTTTCGTGGTATTAATCAAATTTAACGGAGGGTAAATTTGTTACAAATGTACCGGTTTATGGATTCAAAAAATTAGTTTGTGATAAATTTGTCACATGCGTATCAATTTGGGGTTTTTGATGGTCAAAAAATTAATTTAGGATAAATATATTATATGTATCCCCGTTTAAAGTGTTTCGTGGTATTAATCATTTTTATTTTACCAAAACAACACGAAATTATATCCCCTCTCCTGCGTAGGGTCATCACTTATGCTCGAAATTACAATCACTCTCTCTTTTTTTTGTGTTAAATCACACGGCTTATCTCGTCACCGTCCGCTCCGCAAAAAGCGCATCGCGAGACAGATTTCCAGCGCTCCAAGAGTAGAATCCGAAGACGCTTCATTTTTATCACCGAGCAAGCAGAGGTTAAAGATGCGACGGAACAAACGTAAGACCCGACGCTCACGACCGGCGCGAAAGAACCCGACCCCTCGCCCTCAAGGACCGCCGCGAACCGTGGAGCCGCCCGCGCCTCCCCTCCCCCCAGCACGCCGTCACGACGCCGTTAAACGTGTCTCCTCCCACTTCTCTAAGCCGCGTATGATCAGGCCCCACTCGGGCCGCTGGTCCCAGCACCGCAAGTCTTCCCACCAGCGACGAACACAGTAGAATAATCTCTTTCGTTTAACTGTCTCCGTCCCGCATTAGCAAAGATCCAAAAACACACAGATGTCATCTTCTGCTTTCTAATATGAAATTTCCCAAACCTTTTTACAGAGATACCGGAGCATCACATCCATATCGTAACCAAGAGATAATGACACAAATAATTCCTAAAGTTTGATCCAATGTGTAACGTGATGTCCGAACTTTTAATTTATCTAACGTGATTTTCGAATTTTTAATTTGTTCAATACGGTTCTCAAACTTTTGATACATGCTCAGATTGATCCCCGGACTACATGAAAATCTTCGATATTTTCCCTAGACTTGAATTAGTGGAAAGATGGTAAAGGGCAAGACTGAACATGTATCAAAATTTCATGAATCATATTGAATAAATTAAAAATTTATGAATCATATTACATAATAAGTTAAAGTTCAAGGATTATATTTATGTCATCATCCCAAATCGTCCAAAGAAAAAAAGCAAAAGATCTTCACGTAAAACAGCTGGGATTCATGGATGTGATGCGAGGTCATATGATTGAGAGAGTTTATAGTCTTTTTTATTACAACGCTCCTGTTTCCTATCGAATGGGTCGTGGGGTCCCCATTTTCGTTCTTTCACTCCCCGGGAGTAGATGACAGCCTAATCAACAGCCTGGAAAAGGTTGTAGCCGCTTGCTGTGGAAAAGCTTCGGGGCTTTAATGGCTGCTCTCTTCTCTTTTCGCGGCGGCATGGCGTTCCTGTCATGTAATGTGGAGTGAAGCGCTTCTGGGTTTGGCCTCTCTCTCGCTCTGACTCGGACCCTCCTTCTTCTTCCACGCCGGCCGAACTCGGACTCGACTCGACTCACAGAGCATTCTTGCTCCTGCCAAAAGGTGAGAGCCCTGAGAACACCTCTGATCTTTTCTGTTGTTTCACGCGTGCCTGTGCTCATCTTCGAAACAATGCTTAGAGGGTTGCATTTCTCCAGCTGCTTGGTCACTTTTGAGCAACTGGGTAAGTGAGGATTCGGATTTTTCAAGATTTTGGACCTCTCAAGAGCTTGATCGTTCTGCTTTGTGAGTTGGGGGGTTTCCAGATCTTGTTGAACTGGAACTCAACCTCTTTAGTGATCGCTGATTTGTGATTTGAGCGAGGGAGGAGTTGGGACGGTCATTGTTTTCCTGAAAGTTGGGGGATTCGGGTTACTATTAATAGACACGGTGAAGATGAAGCTAGAGAAGTCGGTCACCCTGCTTCTTGTAGCTGTTCTGTTCGAGATTTCATGTCTGAGATGTCAAGCGGCATTTGTGCCCGCCGATAATTACTTGATATCTTGCGGTTCTCCGCAAAACATAACAGTCCAGGGTCGAACTTTTGTCCCCGATTCTGTGCTGTCTTCCCTTGTGTTAAGAACGGGGAATGCCATTGTTGCTAGCTCCAACACTAGCATTCTGTCTCCCATCTACCAGTATGCTCGTGTTTTCTCCGGCATAGCCTCTTACAAATTCAATATTGAGCAACAGGGCCGCCATTGGGTCCGCCTCTACTTTTACCCTCTTCCGACTTCCGGCCATGACTTGACAGCTTCCCCTATAACCGTAGTCACCGATGATTTTGTACTCCTCAACAACTTCACTTTCAAGAACTATAATGGTTCCTACATGTGGAAAGAGTACGCAATCAACGTGACTTCAGATATGTTGAGTCTCACTTTCATCCCTTCAAACAACTCGGTCTCTTTTGTAAATGCGATTGAAGTCGTCTCAATCCCAGATAAAGTGCTGCCTGATGAAGCTCTTGCTGTAAATCCATCTGCCCCTTTCAGCGGCCTCTCTGAACTTGCCCTTGAAACAGTGTACCGTTTGAATATGGGGGGTCCACTGCTCACTGCTCAAAATGATACCCTTGGAAGAACTTGGGAGAATGATGTGAAATATCTCCATGTCAACAGCTCTGCCGCAAATGTGTCTATCAACCCTTCGTCAATTAAGTATCCTGTCACAGTCACGAAAGACATAGCGCCTAATTTGGTATACGCGACGGCTGAAACCATGGGAGATGCCAATGTTGCTAATGTGAACTTCAACATAACTTGGGTCTTCCGTGTTGATCCTGACTACAAGTATTTCGTGCGGGTGCATTTCTGTGATATAGTCAGCAAGGCCCTAAATTATCTCGTGTTCAACCTCTACATAAACTCCGACATCGCTCGGGGAAGCCTTGATCTTTCGACCTTAACTGGTGACTTGGCCGTGCCATACTACATGGATTTTATCGCTAACTCTTCCGACGGATCGAGTACTTTTACTGTTAGCGTAGGTCCAGACACTTCGTCCGATGTCACTGATGCCATAATGAATGGGCTGGAGATCATGAAAATCAGCAATGAAGCAAAAAGCTTAGATGGGTTCTCTTCTGTCCGGAGCCTTCTTCCTGAGTCGTCTTCAAAGAAGAACAGGATAGCAATTATCGTTGGCTGTATTGTTGGAGCTCTGGTTGTCATGGCATTTGGTGTTTTCTGTTACTGTTGCTTGGCAGCTCGGAGGTCAAAAACAGCTCACCAGCCACATCCATTGTTACCACTGCCTTTATATGGAAATTCCCAGACCATGACCAAGATGTCTACAACCTCTCAAAAAAGTGGAACTGCTAGCTGCATATCTTTGGCTTCCTCCAACCTAGGAAGGTTCTTCACATTCCAAGAGATCCTAGATGCGACCAACAAGTTTGACGAGAGCCTGCTTCTTGGTGTTGGTGGCTTTGGCAGGGTGTATAAGGGAACGCTAGAGGATGGAACTAGAGTGGCTGTCAAGAGAGGTAACCCAGGATCCGAGCAAGGGCTTGCTGAATTTCGAACTGAGATCGAAATGTTATCTAAGCTCCGCCACCGCCATCTTGTTTCTCTTATTGGCTATTGCGATGAGCGCTCAGAAATGATTCTTGTGTATGAATATATGGCAAATGGGCCACTCAGGAGCCATCTGTATGGAACGGATCTACCTCCTCTTCCATGGAAGCAGCGCCTAGAGATCTGCATTGGGGCTGCAAGGGGACTGCATTATCTCCACACAGGTGCAGCTCAAAGCATTATTCACAGAGATGTCAAGACAACAAACATTCTATTGGATGAGAATTTCGTTGCTAAGGTTGCTGACTTCGGCCTCTCGAAGACGGGGCCCGCACTGGATCAGACTCATGTCAGCACTGCAGTTAAGGGCAGTTTTGGTTACCTGGACCCCGAGTACTTCAGAAGGCAGCAGCTAACTGAGAAATCTGATGTGTATTCCTTTGGAGTTGTTTTAATGGAAGTTCTCTGCACTAGACCTGCTTTGAACCCAGTACTTCCAAGGGAGCAAGTGAATATTGCAGAGTGGGCGATGAGCTGGCAAAAGAAGGGTATGTTGGATCAAATTATGGACTCGAATCTTGTGGGGAAGGTTAACCCAGCATCTCTCAAGAAGTTTGGAGAGACAGCTGAGAAATGCCTGGCTGAGCATGGAGTTGATAGGCCGTCAATGGGGGATGTGCTGTGGAATCTCGAATATGCCCTCCAGCTCGAGGAAACATCCTCGGCTCTGATGGAACCGGAAGATAACAGCACAAACCATATTCCGGGCATTCAGCTGACGCCACTGGAGCCCTTCGATAACAGCACGAGCATGATAGATGGCGGAACTGATGATGATGCTGAGGATGCTGCCACAAGTGCTGTGTTCTCTCAGCTGGTAAATCCTCGTGGAAGATGAGAAGAAACCTCCTGAATCAAAGGATGGAGGTTTTCATTTTCGTTTCTTCTTCCTCGTCATTTTTCTCCTGTTCTTTGGCTGATTATCTCATGGAGTTTGTGTAGACTAGAGCTAGGTGCTGATCGAATTATGGAATGTTTTATAAGTGCAACTTCAAGATTCTATTGTTCTTGTGATTCTCAATTTGTCTGGGTATTGGATGCCCATGTTCTTGTTAGCGATAAGAAAAGGTAATGATTTGGTTGGATTTATACACTTTCATTTACAGAACAAGTACAAGGAATAAAGACAGTCTGAAATGATTCCTCTTCTAGATGTTTTCTTGTACAAGTATTCTTGTTGTCTTTTGATTTCTTTACGATGCTTGAGGGATACATCTGGAAACTCTTCCCGAGTCCTCTTCTCCAAACAACTACAACTTTAGACCCATTTTGTTAGTTCAAGGAGACTGGTGATGATGGGCCATATAATTACCTGCACCCTCTTTTGATGCAAAGTCGTATGTTCTCATACGGTACACAGTTCCTCATGTCCTTTTCACTAGTTTTTGCTATATTCTGTTCGCTGTCGGTCTCTTTTTGAACTGTATGCATTAGTGGTAGATCATAGCTCTACAGTTCTAGCAACTTTTAAGCTCGATTTCTCGTATGAACTTATGTTTCAAACTGGAGGACAAATTATGATGTTTTTGTTTCCCCTTGGAATGGCAAGAAGCTAAGTTGGAGATTAGTTTTAGGGTCTTTCTAAGACACAAGGCAAAACGGTGTGGATAAGAGATACGGCATTACGGTACTAGGCCTTTTATTCTTTCCCTTAATTGGATTATTAGGGGCGAAGCAGGAGCATCTGACATGTTTTGTAATGATAACGAGTGATGATATTTCTGACGAAGACATTCATTTTTATAAACTCGTGCCATCACCAGAACCGGTGGAGACACCTCTGGTGCAATCCAATGTGCCATACTGGTAGTAGTTGCCAATAAGCTCTCTCGGTCCTCATTATCACTTCCTGGAGCGTAAAGGCAAAGCTTGCAGTCTGCAGAGATAAGTGAAGCAGTCCTATACTGATCTTCACCTCCCACCACAGGCAGAGCCACACCGGGCTTTGCTGGGTTCACACAATCGGGCTAGGTCCATCCGACCGCACCGTCCACCTTTGGCAACAGACAAAAGAACCTGAACTGCACTTCCAAGTGAGCAAAGCAATCATCAGAAGGCAACATATATTGTGAATCCTATCATCTTCTTTTGTAATAGGGAACACGTTCACCATAATCTCAGCCATGTCTTCTAAGGTCACTGTTACACTGTTCTTGCTCGATACTCTCTCAACCTTTATGTCTTCGGCCTCAGAGTACCATGTGGACAGAGGGTTTTGTGGTATTCCTATTTCATTTCCGTTGTGAGCGAAAATCAGATGATCAATCTGATCATCCCAAGTCTCGGCTCTTGTTGCTTCCAAGATGAAGGACTGGGAGTTGAAGAGGATTCCGAGTGCCTGAATCCATGTGTTGCCTCGGGCTCGACCGGCTGGTCTATGGCCAATGAAGCGCGCATTGATTTAGAGGGCAGGGTCCGAAACTAAACTGAAAGTTTGGTTGGTCTTGCCGTGGAAGTAGAAGACAATCCCATCTCCGTCAATGAAACAGGGATCGTAGCATGACGAGCCAAGTCCGATGCAGTTCGGCTTGCGGTCTGAATTTTGATCTCGAGTCTCGGTAAGCATTCGATGTAAGAAGCATAATCGCTTGCTCTGAATCAGTTGCAATATAGGGATCAACAGAGGTTATCTTACTTCTGCATTGGGAATCGCAAGTCGGCGAATTACAGTCGACATATGGGAAAATTGTTCAAAAAGTCCTAAATCTATTGCACTTTTGCCAAGTCAGTCCTAAATCTTTTAAGTTTACCAATTGAGTCATAAACATTTTCACTTCTTGCCAATTGAGTCTATCCGGCCAATTTTGGCCGCTTGGAACTGACGTGGATGCTATCCGGCCAATGCTAACTTGACAATTTTTAATATTTTTTTTCGAATTTTTAAATATTATTTTTCCTTCTTTTTTTTTTGGCCTTCTTCCCTTTGGCCGGATTGGCCAGAGGCGAGGGCCGACAAGGTCAACCTCGCCAACCTCTAGCGAAGGCAAGCCTCGCCGGCCCCTAGCTGGGTGAGGTCGAACCTCGCCCGAGCTAGCCGTCCCGACCCAGGGGATGGCGACGGCGACGGCGATGGCGAGGTCGACCTCGCCTTGGCTAGGCGAGGTTGGCCTCACCTTGGCTAGGCAAGGCCGATCTCGCCATCTTCGTCGCCTGGGTCGGGACGGCGAGGTCAGGCGAGGTTTGACCACGCCCAGCCAGGGGCCGGCGAGGCTCACCGTCTCCAATGGCCGGCGGGGGCAAGCTTCACCAGAGGTCGGCGAGGTTGACCTCACCGGGCCTCGTCTCTGGCCAGTCCGGCGACCTGCCAGAGCGAAAAAAGGCAAAAAAAAAAAGAAAAAAAGAAAAGGAAAATAATAAAAATATTAAAAAATTCAAAAAATATTAAAAATTATCACGTCAGCGTTGGCCGGATGGCCAGCGCCAGTTGGCGTCCACATCAGCTCCGTGCAGCCAAAATTGGCCGAATAGACTCAATTGGCAAAAAGTGAAAAGGTTTAGGACTCAATTGGCAAACTTAAAAGGTTGAGGACTAAATTGACAAAAGTACAATAGGTTTAGGACTTTTTGGATAATTTTTCTGTCGACATATAGCAACGTTTTCTAGTCATTTGAAATGGTTCATATGGGCTCTCCGGGCATTTAAATGTGCGTGGAAAGCAGCGTGTCCCTGGTCGGTTGCAGCAGACGTAGCCGTCGAACTAAACCTGTTGAACTGAAAGTCCCACCAAAATTGCTAGTACAGTGAGAAACGTATAGCCGCTGATTTTGACCATCTTTGAGAATGAAAAGAAAGTCTCAGAAGCCAGCTAGCCAAGGGAATATGTAAAGCTGAAATCCCATCTGTGTGGTACGTATTTACAGTACTCTAATTCACATTTCTTGCATGCATCGACAATGCTCTTTATGTTTTTCATTTTAGCTCCATGGAGATCTGCGACGCGCGGTTGACTCTCTTAAACACTTTATGGTGGGACTACACAAGCATATGACATTTCTTCATCCGAAAGAACTGGGGGACAAACAGAAACACATGGACAATGCCATATTCTTCTTTAAATTCGACCCATATAAAAAAGAAAAAGAAATTGTAGAACTTCGAGTTCCGGCAACAGAACCATCAGAGGGTACTTCATATATATGGTTCACGTCAGAGCTTTCTAAAGAAGCAGCTGTTTCATACGATCCAACAAAGTAGTTGTTCAACCTAAAGTGCTTTGCAAGAATTAAGAACTGAAAATGCTTCACCTGTTTCACGAGGCTCGCTTAAAAATAGAAAAGAGACAGTACACGTTATAAAACACGGATGCCTCTTTGCGTGACTTATTGAAGATGACGTACTGATGTCGTTCATTTGACATAACAAAGAAATTTCCTTGACGTTAGTTTCATGTAAAGTCATTCTCGAGGCAATAAAACAATTCGAAAGGGGCGCTGTATCTGGTCAGTACGCATCTGGGTTAATAATTCCAGCCAAGAATGCACAATGACCAATAAGAGGTGTCACAGATTAGTGCGACGACAGTACGCACAAAAATAAGCGATAGGAAACTGAGGTTGAAAGATGGCCAGACCGTTGCAGAAAAATTAAGGTTATAAAAGCGACAGCATTACAGTATGCACACGCTACCAACCACTACTTCAGTCTTTTACCAGGCGACAAGAAGAGAGATAAGAGGTATCTAATTTCCACACGAAACCATCTCTCTGCACTTACAATGAAAGATGCTCTTTTTTTGTCCCTTTCTCAGTACTCTTTACTACTCTTTATATGAAGAACAATGCCTCTTTAGCATAACAAAAGAAGAAGAACAATACCTCTGTATTGTTACCAAAAGTAACAGTCACTTCAAGATTATCACCATATTGCAATCTCCGTAAAATTCTGGAAGCTAAGTGCTAACGATGAAAGAAGCCAAGACTCAAGTGACTGCCGATGTCGGGATTGATTCACTGTGGAAGTGTTTGTCCAAGGATCTATACTCTATAGTTCCACAGGTCTTGCCAAACCTAGTGCAGAATGGAGAGATCATTGAAGGAGATGGTGGCCTTGGTTCGGTCATTCTTTTCAATTTTGGCCCTGGTGAGTCACAGTTCTTTTCTTGCACTCATAAAAGCGAAAACTCAAGAATGGGCATGCCGGATTGAAGTCAATCACGTTAGGGTTAGGGATCTCATGTGGGTTGTCCTAGTCTTTTGTTGGACTCCATCTAGGCTTTATGTAAGATTTGCCAGATGTTGATGACTAGTTCAATCTATCACACCAAGGGTTTAGCAGCTGAAGCAGTGCATCTCTGTACTCTTGGCGATGACATTATTTCTTAAATCAAAATAGGAAAGCATTTAGAAAAGTGAAGCTTTTGTCATAGCGGAGACTTGTATAGGCATTGTGCTAAATGTATCCTGTAGAGACCTATTTCACAAAGCATGCACTTTCATTTTTCAAGATCTATAATGAGGGTTAGTTACAGTCCATTAACATTTTCCCAAATAAACTTCAGATGTGCCAAATATGAAGTACCAGAAGGAGAAGATCGTGGAACTCGACGAGTCGTTGCATCGAATCGGGTTACAAGTGATAGAAGGGGGTCACCTTGATCTTGGCTTCACCTTTTACAAAACTACATTTCAACTTACATCAATTTCAGAGAAGCAGACACTGGTGGATGTGGTATATGAATTGGAGACGGAACAAGCAGTCCTGCCCTCACAAACCACAGCCGGCGCACTTGCATGCATCAAGGGCCTTGAGAACTATTTGTTGAGTACTGATACTAAGTAGAGTTAGACCTATCACAGTTCATCTCCGGTTTAGAAAAGAGCAAGGATAAATATTATAGCACGTCAAAAGAGGTGAATCAAAGCATATTTGATCCTATCTGCATCAGAATAAATACTTGTGTATTTTCCCGTGAATACTTGTGTGATTGAAATTGTGATTTAGTTTTGCAATAATGATTTGTTTTGTGAAAGAGAATTCATAATGATATCTTACCATTAGGCAGAGACGAACACATGAATCATAAACACATCTTCAACAAAAGAGAAAACGAGGACCATGATCATAGGTATCTGCCATCTTTGGTACACGGGACAAGAGGAAACAAGACAACAATAGTCGACCAACACAAAAATGAGCATCAGCCCAATTAAATCGAATTAATTATCCGTAACACTAGAGAGTATATAACTTAACTAAACATACAAACCAAAAAAGAACATGACAAATTCTTTCACGAGCATTACCCGGACTTAGAAATTTATCAACTACTGTTGACTCGGGAAATATAGAAACCATTGCTCTAGTAATAGTGCGAAAAGGCTTAACAACATAATTATTACTTAATCGGAGAGTGAATGTGTTTATCCTTATCAGTCTGGTACGGTATCATTAACTTCTTAACCTAATGTACGAAGATCGACCAATAAACAGAATTTTCAATTTTCGATTCATCAATATTCAGTGTTTCTATCTTTCGAATGAAGAGCTAGGAGGGGCTACCACACTCAATAAATATAAGGTGCTCAAAGAGTACCGGACGACTGAACACCCCGTCGTTGAGGACAAACATATCAGGTGCGTTCATTGGGTATTGCACATGGGTGCGCGACGATTGATATAGAAAACTTTTGCCTCCTCGTTTGGGTACGCCGAACATTCGAACGGGGCAGGTTGTTCCAAGTCCGTTGCAGCGGCTCCTCGGAGAGCTGCAAACTGCTTCAATGCTGTTGCCGCCGGGTCCCAAACGATGGAAGAAGTCTTGCATGGTTTCATATTGGACAAGCATCAGCAAAATGGTGACTACGCAGCTGACCCTGAATCTTAACAACGCCATGATGCAAAACATAGCAGTGAAACGAAGTGACGGATGGATGGATGCGGCATGTTAGAATGTTGTCTCCGGTTTAAATCTGTGAACGAAATCTGACCTGAGATTAATTATTATTCATGAACGTCCAAATATCCCAAGTTGGAGAAGGGTTTTCTTGTTTTGTCTTGATATCAAATTATTGGCAAGAGTTACCGGCCAAGCAAATAAAAAAGAAAGAAAGAAAGTCCACTTGGAATTCATTTCCTAATTCTACTTCTTTTTTTTTCTTTTTTCTGTCATATTTCTAACTTTCCTTACTCTTTAACTTTTGCTTTGCCCTTTGCAAATGGCTGGAGTTGAACCCCGAACCTGTCATACTTGCATTCTACCCCCAATCCCTTTACCAGCGGGGCCATATGCCTATTGGCGTGTGGACTTCATTGACTACCCAAGTTTGGGTTTCTTCTTGCTTTTGGATTTTATATATATATTATGGCTTAATACCTTAAAAAACTCTCAACTTTATGCCTAGTTTTTTTTTTTTGGTAAGGTAAGAATAATTTTATGCCTAGTTTCAATTCTACCATAAACTTTTTTTCGTCTTATAGAAAATCTTCAACTTTTGGTCCAATCCTAATTTTGCTTGAACTTTTTTTTTGTTTCATAAAAAACCACCAACTTTATGTACAGTCCCAATTTTACCCTAAAAAATCACATAAAAAATCACCAACTTTTATCTCATAAAAAATCACCAACTTTTACTTGAGTCTCATATTTACCTTTGTTAAAACTCCGTCCAAAATCACCCTTAGTAATGTCATTGCTCTAGTTTTTCCCCGAATTTCATATCCAAGAAGACATTTTGGAGATGAACTTCCACATTAGCCCAAACGACGTCTTCTTGGATATGAAATTAGGGTATAAACTAGAGCAATTAGGGTTGGCCTACTTCAATTGCTATTACTCTTATGAGAGTTTTCCTTCCATCTCGCTCGGGGATCTTCGATTTTGCATTCAGTATTCATTCTCTCGTGCTCGGGAGTCTTCCATCTTTTGCGGTCGGAGAGCTCGCGCTCAGAACGCTCGAACACCTCACGCTCGGGAGTTTTTTCATTTCTCGGTTGTCAAGAGAAATTTTGAATGGAGAGTTAACGGGGATAGATTTGGGACTCAAATAAAAGTTGGTGGTTTTTTGTGAGATAAAAAAAGGATTAAGGTAGATTGAGACTGGACCTAAAGTTTGAGGTTTTTTATAGGAGAAAAGAAAGTTTAGGGAAGAATTGAGACATGATCTAAAGTTGGAGGTTTTTTATGAGACGAAAAAAGTTTAAGATAAAATTGGGGTTAGACCGAAAGTTTGGGTTTTTTTTTTTAATGGTTTTAGGCCTATATATTCTTAAGGGTTGTTTTATATGTCTTCGTTGGTTGATAAGTAGAGGGGCACAAATCCAAGTTTGTTGACGTCACATCTCAAATCCTATAAAAAATTGGGAAATGGTACTGCCGTCCTTCTACCCGAAAGTCACAGCCTCAATTACAAACCTAATATCAATATATATAGAACAGTTACTACTCTTGAATTGCATAAAAGAGATCCAAATTACTAGGGATATTATGTGATTAGTTCGTATCCAAAATAGAAAATTCAACTAAGCAAACTTTATCCAACTACCCAAAACTCTCCGCCAATAGCGCTGTCGTTTTGGTTGTCGCTAGCTAAAACAAAACTAAAAAGATCGGAATGAATGAGGCAAGCAACCACAGTTGAGTAATGCATATCTTTTTTAAGCAGATCAAACACCCATTATGCATATACAAAATCAAATCGAAACTCCTTCAATATAAATGCACAGTCTCGTATACGTACAAGATCAAAACGAGTTTTAACTTTTCAACAAAGCTTTATACATATCACAAAAACTCATTTTATCAGTAATATCAAAGCAAATATCAACAGTCTAGTCCATTAATTAATCTCATCAATTCACATATCAATTCTCTATTATATTGATCAATTTCATACTACACATCAATGGTCTATTCCATTGATCCATCTAATCAAATCACATATAAAATAGTCTATCTCATTGATCCATCTCAGGCTTAATATTCAACCATAGTCATGACACAACGCCTGGTGACAAGGCGGCCAAGATTTCTCTCCTTGGCAATGTCTACACCTCTTATTAGCCAGTGGCTCAACTCAAAAGGATATCTTGAAACCAATATGCATACGCAAAAACCCCTATCCGGTACAGTGATATTAAGCATTAAACCATCATCCTCCAGTATCAAATATCCAGTCCAGAATCAATCTCATAAGTTAGATACATTTTTACAAACCTATATTTCCTTTCACAATAGAATACATTTCATAAATCAGATTTACAAATCAAAACATATAACCTTTTTGCAATCCCTTTCATAAAGAATTTCTCAAACCATTTCATAATAATCAACTCAGAAATCGTTTCCAAAATGCTTTCTATACCATTTCAAATAATCAAAAGGGTAGTAAATGCATCTTAATGAGAAAAATTGTCTAAAAAGTCTTAAACTTATTGCGCTTTTGCCAATTCATTCATAAACTTTTCGATTTTGCCAATTGAATCCTGAACATTTTCATGTTTTGCCAATTGAGTCCATCCGGCCAATTTTGGCCGTAAATTGCTAACGTGGACGCTAGCCATCCTATATTGAATGAAAGGCGCTAATGTGGGTAATTTTTAATATTTCTTCGAATATTTTTATTAATTTTTTTCCTTTTTTTCTTTTCTTCTCTTTTCCTTATTTCCTTATTTTCCCTTTTCTCTTCTTTTCTTTTTATTTTATTTTATTTTTCATTTCTCTTTTTCCCTTTTTCACCCATCAGTCACTGCCGGACCTCATTGACTGCCAACCTCAAGACCCTCACCCAAGGCCAGCAAGGGCAGCCCTTGCTAGCTCAAGCCTGGGTGTCCCTCGCTTGAGGCTAGAGAGGGTAGCCCTCGCTTGATACCGGCAACCTCCATAGGCCATCGACGAGGCCCGGCAGTGGTTGGCGAAGGGAAAAAGGAATAAAGAAAGAAGAAAAACAAAAGGAAAAAAAGAAGAAGAAAAGAATGAAAAGAGAAGAAAGTAAAATATTCAAAAAAATATCAAAATATTATTAAAAATTATTTACGTCAACGTTTGCCGTGTCACGTAGGACGGCGAGCGTTCATGTCAGTGATTTTCGTCCAAATTGGCTAGAAGGACTACATTGGCAAATTGTTAGAAGGTTTATAACTAAATTGATCAAATTGAAAGATTTATGACTAAAAATTGTCATACAATGGGTTTATGGCTTTTTTTGGCAATTTTCCTTATGATGAACAGTATGACTTGTCATAACTTAGTGCCAAAATATTATGCACCATATAAGCCATAGGAAATTGCGATTGAAAAGGATGGCCAAATAGTTTCAGAAAGATTAAGATAATACGAATGACAGCATCACAATATGAACGAGCGGCCAACCACCAATACTGTCTTTATCAGGCAACAAGTAGAAAAAGAAGAGGTGTCTAATTTCCACATGAAGCCATCTCTCAGCAACTGCGATGAAAGATGCTCTATCTTGTCCATTTCTCAGTCTCTTTGCATTTTTAACTGTAAGAGTACCTCTGTGTAGTTACCAACGTAACAGTCACTTCAAGATTATCACCACACCGCAATCATCTCCAAATTCTGGAAGCCAAGTGCCAACAATGAAAGAAGCCAGGACTCAAGCGACGGTCCATGTCGGGATTGACTCATTGTGGAAGTGTTTGTCCAAGGATCTGCTCTCTATCCTTCCACAGGTCACGCCAAATTTAGTGCAGAATGCAGAGATCATTGAAGGAGATGGCGGCCTTGGTTCAATCCTTCTTTTAACTTTTGGCCCTGGTGAGTCACATCTCTTTTTTTCCACTTCTAATTAAATGGGAAAACTCAAGAATGGGCATGCTGGATTGAAGTCAATCACGTTAGGGATCTCATGTGGGTTGTCCTAGCCTTTTGTTGGGCACAATCTAGGCTTTATGTAAGATTTGCTAAATGTTAGACTAGTTCAATTTATAACATCAAGCATTTAGCAGCTGAAGCAATGCAAGCTTTTGTGTAATGGAGACTTGCAGCGGCATCATGCTTAATGTATCCTGTGGAGACCTGTTTCAAGAAGTATGTAAATTCATTTCTTTTATTGTATAGCGAGGGTTATACTGGCTATTAACATTTTTCCAAAATAAATGTTAGATGTGCCGAAAATGAAGTACCAGAAGGAGAAGATCGTGGAACTCGACGAGTCTTTGCATCGAATTGGGTTACAAGTAATAGAAGGGGGTCACCTTGATCTTGGCTTCACCTTTTACAAAGTTTCAAATCAACTTACAACAATTTCAGAGAAGCAGACACTGGTGGATGTCATGGTTGCATATGAATGTGAGACAGAAGAAACAGTCTTGCCCTCAGAAACAACAGCATCTGCACTTGCATGGATCAAGGGCCTTGAGAACTATTTGTTGAGTACTGATACTATATAGAGTTAGACCTCTCACGGTTCATCTCCGATTTAGAAAAGAGTAAGGATAATATTATAGCACGTCGAAAGAGGTGAATCAAAGCATATTCGATCCTATCTGCATCAGAATTGGTGTGTATTTTCCTGTGAATACTTACGTGATTGAATTTGTCATTCAGTTTTGTATCAATCTAACTTGTTACAGGAAAGAGAACTTATAATGATATCTAACCATTAGGGAGAGATGTACACATGAATCATAAACACATCTTCAACAAAAGCGAAAACGAGGACCATGATCTTTTGTATATGCCATCTTTCGTACACAGGACAAATTGGAAACAGGACAACAATAGTCGACCAACACAAAAATGATTATAATCCCAATAAAATCAAATTAATTATCCATAACACTAACAATTATGTTAACTAAACATACAAACTCAAATAGAACATGACGCATTCTTTAATGAGCATTACTCAAGACTTAAAAATTATCAACGACTGTTGACTTGAGAAATGCAGAAACCTTCAATCTAATAAAAGTTTAAAAAGGCTAAACAACATGTACTTATGAATCCTATCATCATCTTTTGTGATAGGAATTACATGCACCATAAACTCTGCTGTATCTCTCGAAGTCACTACTACACATCTTGTTTGATATCCTCTCAACCTTTATGTCCCTTCCTGGGGAGTGCCATGAGGAGAGTGGACCTTCGGTTATTGCTATTTCGCTTCTGCCATACGTTAAACTCAAATGGTCAATTTTGGCATCCCAGGTAGCAGCCTTTGTGGCTTCTAGAGAGAAGGAACGGGAGTTGAAGAGGATTCCCAGTGCTTGAATCCATGTGCCGTTGCGGGTCCGGCCCATCAGTTGGTGGCCAATGAACCGAGCGTTGATTTGGAGGGTGAGATCTGAAACGAGGCTGAAATTCTGGTTGCTTTTGCCATGGAAGTGGAACACAACCTCATCCTGATCCGATTCCTTTGCAGTTCGGTTTGTGATCTAATGCAAAAACTATCGATATCAATCATTTTTTTTTAATAAGCTCAGGATCTTTTCCTATGTGTTGGTTAATAAAACTCACTTACAAAAAACTTTGCTCTAGTGTAGTCGCTTGAGGGAACCGAGATTTCAAGTTGGGGTCATAATTCTCAGTCGAGTCTGACTATGATACTTTTTCTCTAGGGTAAACTAGATATGTGTATCTGGTTTTATATTTAGGAAAGCTTAGTCAGTCAGGTGAGTCCTACTTTCCGAACAGATATACATTAACATCTATCTGAGCTGATAAATTTACAAATCTTGATCATTTTCGAGAAAATGAGACGAATAAACTCATCTTCCAAGAAAACCAAACGGATTTTGCTCAGCTTGAAACGAAATCGCTCAAAGTATAGCAAAGAGTAAGGATTATGACCTATCTTACGTCTGCTTTCGGAGCTGCAAGTGGGCGAGTTGCAATTGACGTAACATGATTTCCCTTTTGAATTCGTTGAGTATGGGCTACGACATTCGGATGGACATGAAAGCACCCTTCGAAAGCAGCGAGTCCAGGGAGTGTTGAACAGAGGAAGACCCCCTTTGGGTCAACTGAAAAACGTATCCTGCCATTGAACCTTTAACAAACAGCATCAAAAGTAGCAACCTACGCAAGCTGATTATTCTTGGCCTTTCGTTCTGAAGAATACAAAATATGCAATTTGCTGCGAATGATTCAGCAGAAGAGAGTGTTGGAAATATGGGATAAATTGATGGGTGAATGAATGAGAAATTGATGCTCAAAGAACACCCTTGAGTTGGAAGTGGGAAATGGAAAAACACTAGTTCCACATTGGAAAAGAAAGAAGGCTATGGAGTATTTTATATACAGTTACACTTATTTGAAGTGGCAACTATCATAGCACAAACACTATGCCTCGCGCGCAGGCGCAGGAGGTGCAAATCCGACGCCCGACAAGCTGATACTTGGGCGCGAGTGCGCATGACCGAAAAGTGGGCCTCGCGACGAGCCCAATTTTGCCTTCTGATTTAATTTTTTCAACTCAAACTGTTACGAATTTCGTAACGTGCGGCAGATTTAATCAGCCGTTATTCCCATGCGTATTGATTTTATAACGGCAGATTTAATCGTTCCGTTATTCGTATTGATTTTGTAACGACAGATTTAATCAGCCGTTATTGCTCTCCCATTCTATTTTTATCGAAATCATTCTTCCTCTGTTTTTACGATTCTCTGCATTTGCACGGTTTTCGATAGTGTTCAGTTCCGCAATTTGTTCAAGTTCGCCAGAAACTTTGAAGTGCTGATTACTTCTTAGCCGTCAACCGTTGTATCCTGGGAGACAGACGTTCACGAAACCTCAGACGCGTCCTGAGGGGAACGAATCTGTTTTAAGGAAACTGTGTCAAACACAAGCCTCGGTATTCATTTGTATCGATTCCAACTTTGTTATTGCAATTTCATTTATTTGCGATTCTGTATTGTTTGTAATTTTTATACTAATGCCGATTTGAATTATGCGACAGAGAGATCTTGGTATATATAATTGTGTCTTTACAGAGCTCAGCAAGTGGACAGTTCTTGTGTGCTGTTCAATTAAAGTTTAGCGGGCTCCTTGAAGTATTATATATTTCTTTAGCCTGCAGGGCTTTGCAGGAAAGGCGAAAAAGATATTGTCAAACCTAGTTTCACTTCTCTAAAATCGACTGAATCTCCATTTTTCTTTCGCCAGAGACCAGTCTCAAATTGACAGAATACTCACTTTCGGTTTAAGAAAGATACAAAACTAGAAGAAGACCATTGACCACGCCTAGCTGGCTAGATTGAGCATTTGAAGCCAAGTAAGCAAGGGCTCACATAAACTTTTAATTGTAACTTGCGTTTAGATATGATCATAATCGCATGGTTGGCTCTATCAATTCTTTACTGTATACGACTCCGAGCATATGAAATTTCGCAATATAGGCAAGATTCTCTAACTTCATGCCTAAAAGATAGTTGATATTTTCATAAAAGTGTTGGTAAGTTATCAAAGGATTTTTTGAAAATCACACGACCGGTAATTTTTTTTATCAACACTATTTCGACGCTTATCGACTCTTTTACAAATGTACCGGCATTGAAAAAATTTCCATCTTCTTAAACGGAACATAGTAGAATCATCCTAAATGTGCCTTTTCTTCTAAGATGAACACCTCCTATCATTTTGTAAATTTCACTCATCCTTCGAGTAGCGTAAGGAACACCTGGCCCTAAAAAGAAGAAATTCTATCTCTGCCTTGTCTACAACTCTATTGGTCGTCCCAATAGATCTCAACTTGCGATGCATTCAGCCATAAACTTCATGGGTAACCTCATTCAGTTACAACAATGAAAAACCTGTTATATAGGAACACAGATGGAGAGATAGAATCCACATCCAAAGTACAAATTCATGTGCTTTATCTATAATTTCAAACATTGTCAGAGACCAAAGCAATATGTGTTTTGTCCACTAATGAGACAATGCAAGTTTGCAGTACGTAAATGTTTTATGCATGGAAGAAAGACTTGTTGCGGATAGAAATTCGAGGGTATTTAAAGAAGAGAAGCTCGTCATAAACAAATAAAAGGAGAATCTGAGAAATCGGAATCAAGAAAGACCCGATCCAAATTTAAACAGATTGTAAAAAGTCACCCATATTCAGAAATATCAAATGTGCGAATAGTATTCGCCATCAAGTCAAATGGATGCTTCGCCCTAATCATTCCAGCGAAAGTATTGAAAACTAGAGATGAAAATGAAACCAGACCAGAGTCTCAAAGTTTTCTTAATTTATTCTGAGAAAGCGAATGTATCCAAAGGACGATAGAGACGCCGGCATTCATCGTCAGGGCTCAACATTGTCGATGTAGTCAACGCATGTGCGGCAACCGCAGTCGAAGAAACGGCATTTCAGGCAGCCAAAGCACACGCATTTAGTGCAACCCTGGCATATCGGAGAGCGTCGGCATCCTCTGGGCCGTTTGCTAGCGGCACGCTCTTCTGCGTCCTTGCAGGTTATCCTGAAACAACAGAGTTCAAGCATGAGGAGATGCTTTTCGTCGCCCATCTCTTTAGCTCTAGGCTCTAGCCTACAGTATAGAGATTGCATATACTCACTTGTCGTGGGGAGGATCACCACACTTCCACCTCTTATTAGCAATGGCATCGTGATGAGCTCGGCATTCCTCCTTGCTGCGGAGGTGGAACCGCCGCTCCCTCTTGCACTTGGAGCAGCGAACAAACTCATCGCGGTGGAATTTCAACTTAGTCGGGTGGTTGGCTTCGTTGGAAGCCAACTGATAGTACTTCATCAGAGGGGTCTCGTCAAGAGGGACCTTGTTCTCACCTATTGTCACCCAAATGTGGCTTTTCCAATTCCCACTTCTCTCAGAATGCCTCTCAAACTCATTTGGTGTCAAATTTTCTGGTCATCAGCAAAAGTCATTGTAATGGACCAGCAAGGTAATCGCAAACATCAAAAAATATATTAGGGTTTTGCTGAGTATGCATCGTGGGAAGAAAATGACGACGACTCTGATAAAATGAGAGGATAACTAAAGTCAAAAGAAGAGAAAATTGGATATTTCGAATACCATAATTCAGAGACAAAGAGCAAATCTATCATATGAGAGAGAGAGAGAAGTACACTTGCCTTTCTTGCAATCTAAGCTGCAATTACAGTTGATTTGAAACAGGCCATTTTTGTAAACCCTCAGATATCCTGAGGTATCACCCAATCTTTTGTGGGTGCATCCGCATTCGACCTCAACATAGTCACTTTCTATTTTATGCCCCTTCATCTGTTCTATCTCTGGTTCACTAAACATCTCCTGGGGATCTAGTTTCGTTGGATCAGTATTTCTTCTCCGGGCCATCTCTTCACCTGCAAATAAATGCACAAGTTCACAATGAAGCAACAAACCTTCCGACAGATTTTTTTTTTTTATGTGGAAAAGAAGAAAGCAAACATATATGTCATGTTCTGGTATGCATGTGGTACATATAGACCTACGCTTAAACATGCATAATAAACTGGGGTTATACCCATGACAAGTGCTATTGATGGAACTAGAGACGCATAAATGAACTAAGATTATACATGACAAGTTTTGGCATGTCCTAGATTACCTTGTGCGCGCGCGTGTATATATATATATATACAAGCCTAGCATGAAACACAACATTAACTCTTATTGCTCAAAGAAAATTTATAAAAATTTTCAAAAAAATGATTGTTGGTATCGCTTACAAAAATTAATCAATGGAAAATCCTGTAGAACAATTCATGTCTAAATATTTTCGCGGATAAAGAAAATATTTTTTTGAGCGTTCATTTTCCTAAGCGATTGAAATGATCATTTAAAAAAAATACTTCAAAATCGTTGATTATCGGCGAAACAACACACCCTTATTAATGAAATGTGGATAGGTAATGTAAGCATGCATGACTAGCTCAATATGTAATGCTTTCGAAAGTTGCATGAATTCCATGATCATAAACCCTAGAGAAACTCTTAACATAGCACAACATTGTAAAATATCTATCATTCAAAACATATATAATGGCTCAATGATTACGAGAAGTATTCAATGCTGTCTTCAGCATTTCATACTCATGGAGAGTATTAATTTGCCACTTCCAGGATCCTGTTGCATTGCACAATTAATGCTAACAAATATCAAGTAATAGATAATAGCAAGTCGATCTATCCTGCAAGTGAACAACAAGGTTTCATTAAAAACTCAAAGGATTCTCAACATTATTAGCAAATGAGAACCTCTACTTTACTTCTCTTCTGCCTAAAGGGTAGGGATGCTTCAAGTCACTAAGAAATAACCTCACAGTCATCCAATATATGTGAAAATCATCAAATAGTAGGGTAAAACATTCTAGACGTGATTTTCCTTGTGATGGAATTAATCAAATGGCATGCAATCCATCCAGTGCACGGTCTGACTTACTCCTCCAACTATTGAATTTCCTACATCACAATATGACTTATATGTTAATATCAACAGCTTGCATCGATATCGGAGGAGTGATGAGAAAACCTCGACAGATTCAAGGATCAAAATGGCAGATAAAGCATAAATTTTTTTAAGGGCTACAAACATATGAATATAACTAAGAGTCGATCTTCCAGGGGTTTATGAGTTATTTGATCGTAGATAATATGATAAATATATCTTTGAAGGGTTTTTGTAAAAGATTATTCTAATCAAGAGAGAGAATCGAAAACCCCTTGCGCCAAACCATTCAAATCAACACATGTCCAAAAAGTAAGCTATGTAAAAGGGTTTTTTACTTTCGACCCAAAAAAAAAAGGATTTTTGACTCAATCTAGGGAAGAAAGGAACAATATCATCCTTCATCATATAGGATTTTGTTAGATCTAGACAGAACTCACCGCAGATCTAGGAATCAATGTGAACAAACAGTAAGCTTATCTTCATTTAACTACTCAACTGAAAATACAAGCACACAAGAGGAAAATCAATGCCATATCATGAAACAACATGGATATTCTATGTTATCTAATGAAAAATATGAATTGAAAACACTGTAAGAACAAGCATACCTTTTGCCTTTCTTGAGCAAAGCGCTTGGACTATCGGTGCTAACAATTCGTACCCTAGATGGTCACTCGAGTGCTGTGATTTTAGATACGAAAATTCACGCATTTAAATATAAGTGCAAAAAAGGAGTTTTCCAAAATGAGTTCATGCATAATTTCGCAATAATGAGCGAATCCAACCTAATTTGAACAATTCTTATCCTCTGATTGTGTTTCCTAAACACGGCATACGAATACAGACAAATATAAATTAACAAATAAAGAAAAATGATTGGACGTGTCAACTTCTGACTGGAGGTTAAGAAGTGTCTGATACGCATATACATAAAAGGTTTATATAAAAAGGAATGTGTCGTCGAGGGGAAACAGGCTGGCAACCAGTTATTAGGGCTGACAAATTGTCATATTAGTGTGTTTACATTTAAGGATAATGACACAAATGGTCCTTGAACTTTGACCCAATGTGTCATGTAGTCCATAAATTTTTAATTTATTCAATGTGGTGCATGAACTTTTAATTTATTTAATATGATCCCTGGACTTTTGGTACATGTTCATTGTAGTCCATGAACTATACGAAAATGTTCAGTGTAGTCCTTTCATTAATTTAAGATCAAGGATAACAATGAACATTATCGTATAGTCCATAGACTATATTGAACTTATACCAAAAGTTCATGGACTACATTAAACAAATTAAAAATTCAGGGATTACATTATATATTGGGCTAAAGTTTAGGGATCATATAAATAAATTAAAAACTTATGGATCATATTGCATATCGGACTAAAGTTCATGAATCATTTGTGTCATTTTCTCCTACATTTACGACGCGTTGCCGATAGATGAAGGGATTGATGGAGGGAGGACCCTCCCAACCAAGCCTAAATTCACTTTTGGTGTGCCTTTAAAAATGAGAATATTGGGCTGGGCCTATGTGCCCCTAAAAAGTTCCAAGGGACCCGCCTCCTGGATTTTGGGCCTCTTTCATTCTTATGTTGAATGACTAGTCTATTCATGAATTTTAATTTTATCCAATCAAAGAAACTTTTAATAACTTGTTTTTTTTTTTTTGGTTGAAAACTTGTTTTAGTGGTTGGTAATCGATAAGAATAATTTAGCTACATAACTTTCCCAATTGAGAACTCAAGAGCCAAGACCAAGATTAATAGGTTTCTCTTTCCACATATCAAGTAAAACAATATAAAAGTATGATTAGTTTTTAGTTTCATTCAAAAAATAAAATAGCTAAGAAAAAATCCAAAATAGCCGGGTGAGAGTAACCATCAAGAAATCTGATATTGATAATGTCCCAAAACTTGCTTCGGTGCAAGAATCATAAGAATGTGAAGAAACAACTCAAATAAATGTTTGTCATTGTTTTATTTTTTAAAATTGATTTGTAGTGTCGGTTTTGTTCAATGCCAAAAAAATCTAATCATTTAAGTTAGTATGTAATTGAGAAAGTCGTGGTGTTAGATGTATAACACTCTACTTTTATATACGTCTAGACAGCATACGTACATATACATCCTTATATTGCACAACTTATAGGACATCATGTACGGTATTCGCATATCTTGTTTTGTAATTCTTGTATCGGTATATGGTTTTATGCAATTGACAGTTTGAGGTGTAGATTTTGACTGGATTAATGAGGAAAAAGATTGAGAGTGGCGAAAGCGAAAGCAGAAGAGAAAGCAAAAAAATAAAAAGGGGAGTGCTCCAGGAGGTGGAGGAAAAATCTGGAGAAATTTGTCTGTTGTGGTCACGATCTCTGCACTTGGAGTCCTCCCCTCCAATGGACAAAACCCAATCGATTACATTATTTTCAGATCGTGAAGTCTATCCGTACTCAGCAAAAAATTCCGCCTGAAAACTTTAATAATTTGGTGCCATGTCTACAAGTTTGCCCCTCTCCGTTACTTCTTCGTCAGCTTTGAGCGGCCTCCTAAATTCTTGTCCAAGACCCAGCAATCGTCACTCGATCTCAAGACCCACCCTTGCTTCACTGCATCGAAACAGCTTCAAATTGAAGCCTACCGGAGAAAAGTTGTCTTTTTTCGAAGTGGGAAGAGTTCAAAATGGGGTCTTGGTGAAGGAGGGGGAGAAATTGAAGAGGAGCACGAGGGTGGTTGTCGTGAGGTTTAACCGAGGTTTCGGCTTTAATGGCGGCGGGGGCGGCGGAGGGAGAGACGACGGAGCCACCGGGAGGGTTGTGGGTAATCTTGTTTTGGCCATTGGCTTGGCTTATCTCTCCATGACCGGACAACTTGGTTGGGTTTTGGATGCAATTGTTTCCATCTGGGTATTGCTCTCTCTTTCTCTCGACACGCACATATGCACCAACAGTTTGTGAAGGGATCGAGTGTATGTAGGCTTTTGATTTAAGTCTCAGCCGTAGATGCAGGGAGTTTAAAATCCATTTTCCAGTTAATTTTTCAGGATATTGCCTGCTAAATTGGAACACGTAGTTGATTCCCTTTTGAAGTAGTTGTATAATTTGAACCGATATTTTAAGTTTCTTGGTGTTTGAAGATGAAACTTTTCAATGGCAATTACTAATACAACATGCTTCAGCTCACAGAAGCATTGAGCAAGATGTTAACATAGTAGCCATGTGTTGCAGGGGATCCTTGTAAGTAATGAAACGGTTGCAAGTTTTCTAATTGAGATCACCCGATTAGATACGCATTTTGCGCCTTTGCGTGGCTATTTTGGTGAATTCAATCCTTACTAGCTGTACACTTTGCTTGGTCATGTGTTTAGGATAAAACTCCATGTTTCTTTCTGCTGTTATATGTCTAGTATCTTCAGGACTATTTCTTTTGCTCTTAAAGTTGGGAGTGATTGGTTGATGCCTTTTGGATCCAGCTTCTTGTCGTGCTGATACCAATTGTCGGTTTGGGGGCATTTTTGTGGTGGGCAGGACGAGATATAGTACAAAGCAGTGTGAGGACTCTTTCACCATCTACATTTCGTTTTGTGACATTATCTGGTTTTTTACCTCCTGTTGCTCTTTTACTTTTCTTGGTATTACTCTACGGGATATCCTCATACATGGGCAGCTACCTGCAATTTTAGTTTCTGGATGTATTTTCCCTTCTTTCTCATTTTCTATCTGGTGGTTCAATGGTAGTTTTCTGAGTATGTTGGTACAAGAACTTTCTGCGTCCAGAGCAACTGGAACATGTATATGACAGCTCCAGAATTCACGCCTGCACAGAAAACAGAGTCACATCACATAGATCCAAAGTCTTAGAAGGAAGTTGATTGATATGGCTTTTCGTTGTCTACAAGGATGATTTCTTGTTTTCATACGGTAGATAGCGGTGATCTATATGATTAAGTTTCCTCTTCATCAGTCATGTTCCATTACTTACATTGCAAGAGTATCTTCGGGAACTTGCTTTGGAAATTGGATTATGAGAAGTAGCTCATTGAATATATTTCTCCCCAGCTGACTTGTCAAGCCTAATTCTTTAAAAGATAGTAAGGTCTAACTGATTGTCTTAATGTTTAGATTTTGAGGTTCTTGTGTATGGTATGCTTTGAAACTTTTCTTTCACTGAAGCCTCTCTCTAAAACTTCAAACCATTTAAACTGTCAGTTTCTCTTTCCATCTGGCTTCTGAAATGGATCTCCTTTGACATTGTTGCATTTGCAGTGTCCAAACTGTGGGAACGATTTTCAGATTTTCAAGTAAGAGATATCTGAAGGCTTTAATTGATTGTAAGCAAGAAAGATTATCTTGCTAAGAGTTTTTTAATTTAGGTGATTGCATAATTCCTTGCAGATCTACTTTGAATGATGAACTACAATTATGCCCCTTTTGCAGTCAACCTTTCTCTGGTAAGACATGATATATAGGCCTGAAAGCTTTTGTTCTTTAGTGCAGTTGTCAAGATTGCAACTTGCTCTTCTATTTGACCTCTCAACTTGCTATTGCTTCCGAATTTTGGAGTATGGTTCTATCATTTGGGTTTTACATGTCGGGGTAGCCAATTCCGGGTTTTCTTTGCCTCCAGAACTTTTGGACTGCTTTGCCAATTTAAAAATGTACTTCTCTAAAATGTCTGTGCTGATAGATGATGAAAGGCATGTTCATCTCATCCGTTATTGATTTTCAGTTGTGGACAACAAGTTTGTCCGGGAATCAGTGACGTTTTCCAACCAATTTTCATCAAAAGGAGAAGCAGCCAGTGAGTTCTATCCTCGACCCAAGAAAGGTTCGTTGTTGATGCCATCTGTTTCAGTGCTTTGATGTTTATATCCCAAATTGATCAATCGCCATCTGTTTAGATCAACAGAGAGAGATGGCTGTGTAGTTTTGGATATTTGCAATCTGAACTAATCATTTAGCTCAGCAAGACAAGATTGCTTTGGTTTTCGCAGGAAAGAATACTCCTACAGCAGTTGTAGATGTTGAAGCGGAAGTGAAGGATGCCGATTGAGGCCTCCGGCGCCAATTTTCCATCATGTTAGTCTCTCTCTCTCTCTCTCTCATGTAAAAAAAAAAATTCCGCGAATTTGGCTCTTGTGAAGGGTAACTCCGTATAGACCATGTAGGCATACAGCTTCTGCAAAGAAGCATGAATTTGCCCATTGGCATGTATGAACTATGAGCATCTAAGAATGGCATGTTTAATTTGATTTGCCTGTTTCCATTATGGTTTTAGGTTATTTGCACGGGTCATGTACAAAACTATATTGTGTCCGCTCAGCTTTCTCAGTGATACGCAATCCAACTTCTCTCACATGTTCTGAGATGATGCGTGTCATCATTTTGTGACTGATGAGCTTCTGATGCAGGTATACTTTTGAACATATCAAATTTGAGATCCCGACTGCGAGCGAGGATGGCCCGTGGTGGAGAGAAGTAGAGTCGAACTTGACAAAGTAACTGTTATCTTTCGCCTTCTCCATAGATGAGTCGGATCATGCTCCAGCATAGCGTACCTGCATATGAGTCTCTATCTCTGAGCTATGGATCGAATGTAATCTTCATTAGCATCTTGTGTTATACCCGCAACTCCTGAGCTTGTAGAGCCATGGAATGGTGCTCAAGGATCACCCGGTGAAAAAAAAAAATATGAGCCAGAGTGGTCACTGTGAATTGGGTCGAACTGTAGAAAGCAACAGCCAAAAAGGATCATAGTACATATAGTAGAATTGTTCAAGCACTCGGGTTAAATCCCGGCACAATTTGAAATCACACGATCCACTCCATTAACGGCGCCAACGATTAATACCTAACAAAATATGGGTTATGGGCTAATTAGGATGTAACTGTTCTGCGCTACATCAATTTTTCAATGTCGGGTTTTTCGAACACAATTCATCATTGCTTATCTCGACAAGTAACCAACCGAAAAATCGAATCCATAATTACGGTTCAATTTATTTTTAGGCCCATAAAAACGAGAATGCTTCTGTGATGGCCGTGTTCACACCGAGGGGGGCGAACGGTTAATAAAAATGAAAAGAGGTTGATGGGACTCGTCCGTCCAACCCATTTTGCACTCCAAAGTTTTGGCGAAGAAAACGCGCATGAATGAAGTAATCGCCAACTCAAAGACTCGTCGTTACGCCAAAAGCTCCATTTCCATCTCGAACGAGAGAAGAGAGAGGAAGAGAGAGGAAGAGAGAGCATCATCAATCCGATCCTTCTTCCCTTTTACGTCTTCGATCTCGTTCCGGTGGATCGTCAATGAACGAGAAGGCCAACGTCTCCAAGGAGCTCAATGCCCAGCACAGAAAGGTTCCTTCTTCCCCCCTCCATCATTTCCCCGCTCGATCCGCCTTGATTCCCCTTCTTCGATCTCGGATTCGATCTTAAGCTTCGCGCGTTTTGGTACGACGTTGGGAGGTGTAGATATGAATGGTGTCCGTTAAGGATTGAGCCGGTTTGCTTTCGTGTACTCTGGGTCGTGTCTCTGCGCATTCGGCATTTCTCATGGGTTTGAGAATTGTGCCCGCACCGATGATGCCGTTGGCGTAATTGATTTATAGTTGGATCTGAAATGATCTTGTAGCGATTATGATAGTGAACGAAACCTGGGTGAAGTTTATATCTGCGGAGAGTATCGGGTGATGCGAATGGTGCGGTAAAATTAGTCATCTTGAGAAGATTTGCTTACCGTTTAGGAAGAAATGGTAGATCAAAGGTCTTCATCTTGTAAGAGGAGCTCCTCCTTTTCACGGTTCTCCTTTGAGATTCAAGTTTCTTATTTGGTAGTCATGAGATCCGGAGTTTCTCGCTAATTCTGCGATTTGCTACATGCAGGTGTTTTTCTCTTATTTATCTTGACTGCAATGTTTGCTTATGTCAAAGTTTCTATATTTCTTGGAGGGCCTTTTATCTCTTTAAGAGAACTCTTCAGCTCAATGGTTTTACCTTTTTTTGTTGCCTCTAACTCTCAGTAGAATCCCTGGAAGTAGCTCATCCTATGATTATGAGGTTATCTGTGGTGCTGATGTGACTTCTTTTTTAGCACTATTGATGGATAAAAGCGGTGCCATTGATTGCAATAAACGCTTTTTATGTCTTAGATTCTGTTTCTAAAAGCACCTGACTAGACCTGGTCCACCATGCATTGAGTACATTACCAAGAAAAAAGAATTGAAAGGATTTATGTGGGTCTCACACAATCTAATGGTTGTGATCGTTCTAGTCCATGCAATAATATTTCCCTTTGTACAGGCTTCTGATATGACTTTTCCCGTAGATTCCATTTCTAACCTTTGTTCGAGATGCTATTCGTTGTTTGATTCTGTACACCATCAAAAAGAACAACATGATAATTAGGGGTTGATTTTCTGGCATCTTATTGGCAGCACACATAAAATATGCATGTGTAGCCAAGCAAATTGTCAAATTGTTTTGATAATGCTTTAACCTTGTCTTTTTCTTCTTTTATCTGATCTTTACCGTGACTTAAACATATGCAGATCCTGGAAGGGCTATTGAAATTGCCAGAGAATAAGGAATGTGCCGATTGTAAAGCTAAGTATGTCCTGGATAACTCTAAAAGATGTACATTGGCATTTCGGACACGGATTTGAATTATGACATCCAAAGTTTAGGACAATTTACTGTTAAACGGGGGCTGATGCATCCATGTTGCGAAAGCCGTCTTTATCTGAATGAACTGCTGCTTATTGATGTGCAGAGGTCCGAGATGGGCTAGTGTGAATTTAGGAATCTTTATCTGCATGCAGTGTTCTGGAATCCATCGAAGTCTGGGGGTACACATATCAAAGGTCACTAATTTGATTTTTTTCACCTGTGCTCCTAATTTAAGAGTATCGATAGTTTAAGAAGGTTCTATTTGTCCAAAAGTCTTTCGTGTTTAGTCTAATCGTGTAACTACACTTAGATTATGTTTCGCAGTTTATAAAAGAACATAATGGAATCTGGGAGAGAATAGAATGTAACAATGAAAGGTGAGAAAGGAAATATATTGCGATGGAAAAGAAGCACTGATGAAATGCCTAATTTGTCCTGGAAATGAATTATGGGAAGAAAAAGGTGAGGAAACATTTGAAAATTATTCCTTAGAAAAGAGAGATGGTTAGCGAAAGCACTTTTTAATTTTCTGTACTGGTGGAACGGGCAAGAAGAGGAAATACTGTAACTTGGTTTTGAAAGAATCATTTTTACAACACCTTTAGTGTTGCAAAAAAAAAAAAACTATTTGCAAGATTCGAACGTCAGCAGAATATAAAAATCAGGGAATTTACTAATCAGAAGTGAAAAAGTGATCCTCAGCTGTGAGGACTTCTATTGGACTTCACCCTAGGCGAACACATGCAATATGCTCTTTTTCATTGGTGTTTAGTCATAAGCTCCATATGAAGCAATTTGTAGATTCTTTAGTACCTGGTCATTCAAGATCTTGATTAGGAGACAATTGAATATTCTCCGTTTTTGATTGAAAACCTAAAAACTATTGTTATAGGACAGCGGTGAAGCATTTTGTGTCTTTAGACCACCTTCTCTGTATCTCATATTTTATATGTCCTGCTGCAGGTGCGATCTGCAACCCTGGACACGTGGCTGCCAGAGCAGGTTGCATTTATACAAAGTATGCTTTTCATTTGTCTTTTGGTTTCCATCTTTAATGGATTAATTCGTTCGCTCTTTCGAGTGAGAGAATCGCTGGCTTTTTCTGTTGTGCAGCCATGGGTAATGAGAAGTCAAATGGCTACTGGGAAGCAGAGCTACCTCCAAATTATGACAGAGTGGGAATTGAAAATTTCATCCGTGCAAAGTATGAAGCCTGGACTATGATCTATTGAACAGTAATTGCATTGTTATTTCCAGTGTCATGCATTTATATGCTCAAAATGGCAATTCTTTATATTATTGAAGATATGAAGAAAAGAGATGGGTTCTGAGGGAGGGAAAGCAAAAATCACCTTCCCGACTGCAGGAAGAGAAGCCTTCATCCTATATCCATGGAGCTGGGGAAATAAGTGGACATTCACATGTGGGCAGTTCAGAAAATTTATTTGAGGAAAAGGAGAAACCTCGAGCTTCCAAAGACAAGGACAGTCTTCCTAGTGTGAAGATTAGTATTCCTCTTCCTCCTAAAGGATCTGAGAAGGTACCTTCTTTAATTGTTCCTCAAGTATCATGCGTATCTTGACAAAGGACTGCTGATATTGGTTTAAATCCACTTGGCATGTTCTTTCTTGGCATTTCGTAGCTGGTGCTCTATTACAACGAAACTTTTTGAAACAATATGTTCTTTGATAGGTTTGAAATAATATGAGGGTAGGGTTCTGTTTCAATCATTGCGCCCCTAGCTTGTGAAGCATTTGCAGATCTTCAGCATTTGGATAACTTAGGGTAACTTTTAATACAAAAGAGAAACTCAACCAATGACGTATCTTGTATATAATCAGGTGACTCCTGTTTCAAAGCTCCACCCCATAGCTCCGACAACAGAACCAGCTTTTGGAGCAAAAGTGCAGGACGCTGATGCTGCTCCATCTGTTTCTCCCCCTAAGGTCGATTTTTCCACTGACCTTTTCGACATGCTATCCATCGATGGTCCCAGTGAGAATGGTTCAGAGGCTGCTGTTGTTGATGATTGGGCCGGTTTTCAGTGTATGTTGAATGTCCTCATCTGTGTTTATAGGGTGGGATGATTAGATTGTGTGATTGGTTCTTTCTGATTCTTGTCAGCATGATCCTGGCATCTAGGCAATGGATACTGTTGTTTGCTTCTAATTCACAGTCGTGTTGCACTCTTGTGCAGCTGCTGAAGTAGCCTCAACAGCTGAAAAAGAAAAATCTAGTCCAACGAAGGCGGTTGACAATAGCACTAACCCAACATCAGGTGTGGAAGATCTATTTAAAGACTCAGTACCAGAGGGTTCAGTACCACAAAAGCCTCAGAAAGATGTAAAAAATGATATCATGAGCCTTTTCGAAAAGGTATCTTCTATTTCTGCTGAAGCATTGGTTTTCATGGATCTTTGAATTGCGCCGCAGCTGAGTATTGACTTTGACTAATGGCGACTGATTGATTTGGCAGTGCTCCATTTTTTGTCTCAAGTAATGATGAATCAAATGAAATATTATTGTTCAAAGGACTAGCTTGACACTCTTCCAAATTACCATGTCGTCCATCATCAATAGTTGCTTGGTATATGGATTGGCTTATATGATTATGTGGTCGTGTGCTTGTTCTTTGTGCAGTCCAACATGGTATCGCCGTTCGCAATGCATCAACAGCAAGTGGCAATGCTGGCGCAGCAGCAAACCCTTCTCATGGCCGCTGCAGCTAAATCTCTTGGTGGAGATCAGAAATCCAGTGGCAGTGCGCAACAACCTGGTCTGCAAGGTACCAGCATATCTGTCCCAAATTGGTCACACAGTGGCTACCAAATTCCAGGAATGATGCCATTAGGCCAAGATGAGCTGCTGAAGCTAATGCAGGTAAATATAATTAGCTTTATGCCATGTCTTCTCTTTGTCAACTGTTGTGCTTAATTATAATCCCATTGATAATTTAGGGAAGCAACGTTGGACTCTCGCATCCAGTGGGAAACTCCGTGCTATATCCAACAGCTAGGTATGCTCTAGCAACAAATATATGTCTATATACATCTTGGACCTGTCATCGGCTTAAATATCTTGCTACATCTTGAAGTGCCTTTACATAATGAACGTCTCTCTGCGCTGAGTACAAGCTGGTTTTTTCTGAAACATATCAAAGAGGATGCCGAGTAAGGAAATTTTATGATAACGTGTACCAGTATTTAGTACAAAAGTTCTGTACCATCAAGTAACTTATCCAAAAAAGGTTTACCATGAAGTCATTCAAATTACATCAGACGTGTTGAGAAGATCCAAGTCAAGTCTTAAAATTGCATTGGTTAACATCTTGAGAATATCCAAGTATTAAGCAATTGCCCTTTTGAGACGTACCAATATCAATTGCAAAAAATGAGGGTGAAACTCAAATTTCATCCACTAACATTAAAGCAATACCCAAATGAATGTTAGTGGCTTTTGCAGTATGGTTTTCATGTAGGATCACTGATAGAATTGGCAGAACATGCATTCAGACAGACCACCAAAACAGGCTTGAATTGCAGCCAAATACTAAAGCTTTTTATGTCTGTTCGATGGTAATTGATTCGGGCATTTGCTTTGAGCAGCTTGCAGACGATGGGGCAACCTACCTCATCTAATGGTTTGGCAAGTGCTGGAGTGAGTAAACCTCAATCATCCTCTTCTCCATCAGAATCTGGGAAGGATTATGATTTCTCCTCACTAACTCAAGGGATGTTCTCTAAACATTGAGGAGATCAAACATTGTCATTACGACTAAATTTATGAGAAATAAAAAATGAAGAGTTTACAGTAGCTTTTTCCTCCGCTTGGGATTGTACACTATTTTGTAGAGGCAGGTCGGGTTTTCCATTCATATAAGATGGTAGAGTTATAGTATGAGTAGGCCTTAAGGGCAATAAAAGTGAATTTTGCTGCAATTGGGAACTTCCTTTTACCTGCTATTTTGAATTTTGTTCATATTTGATTCAACTCTTATACAGAGGAAGGGAGAACTTAGTTCCATGATTCAAATAATATAAATTCACACTGCACACATTTACTTGGGGTATGTGATGGTTTCTTGGTCCAGCCAATGAGTCCTGTGCTGGTAATTTTCCTACTAGTTCATTTGGCCGCCAACGCCTCTTCTGTGGGAATCCATTCTACAGTCTCATTGGATTTTGATTCTTAAGTTTCTGAAGCTGGGACAATATTCTAAGTAGTTTATGGAATTTTGAGCATCAGTAAGCTTCATTTTGGAAAAATTCCTGTTAGTCTCAAGCTGTTAAATTCAAGTTCCTTGTGAGAGGCCTCCATTGCAATTTTCCAGGAGTTTATATTGTCGAATGGCCATGGTGCAGTCTTCTAATTTTCCATTCTAGAGTTACCAATGTTTTCTTGGGTTTGTATGGGCCAAAGATTGACAGCGCTGGGCATCTGGATTGGTTGTCAGTTTTTCATGTGTTCATTTGGCGTGCTATTTTGCAATGCCTTTAATTGTTCGAAAGGATCTTGGAGACCCACCAAAGCACGAATGCTAGGATCTGACGGAGGAACTTCAGGACACATTTGGGGAAATGCTTGCAATGCCTTTTTTTTTCCTTTGTTTTGCTAGAACTGTAATGTCATCATTGATCATCTAAAGAGCCGTACAAGAGGACGTTACATTAGGTAAAGGAGAATCATAACGAAAAGAAGAGGCAAACATGCAGTCCATTTCAAGAATGACTGCTTTCTTGACAGCAGCAAGGAGACTAGCAACAGAGAGACGAAACAGATCCCACCTCTCGGAAGGCCCAGTTTTGCGCTCCCTAATATTGTCATTTAGCACAACAATCGACTTGGGACTTGGCTATTCAGTTTTAATAGAATCCGTGCTTCAATTTTCTTTGGTCGACATTATCCTGATGATCAGCCAGGGCGCGTTTAGCAACCGGCTAAACAGTAACTATTTTTATTCTTTTGTTATCAGAATCAGTTTTGATACAGAAATTCGTTTGGTAAATTTTTTTGTTCCCGAGCACAAATTTGCAAAAATTTGTTTCCAGAATCAGTTTTGGAACAGAATCAAGAATCAAAAAAATTGCTTCTTGATTCTAGGAACAAGAATCAGAAATGGAAAAGAAAATTTTTTTTTTCTTCTTCTTGGCTTTCTTCTTTTCTTCTTCATAACTGTGGGCCAGTCGTAGATTCTGGCCGCCGGTCGAGTCCGAGAAAGAAAAAAAATGAATAAGGATTAAAATAATGATAAATAATCCTCGCCCGAGGTGCGAGGTCCGGCCCTCATGGGCCTTGGCCTGTGAAAAATAGAAAAAAAAGGTCGCTATGCGCCGTCACCTGGCCATAGCCAAAGGATTAAGGAAGAAGAAGAAAAAAAAAGAAAAAAAGAAATATTAAAAAGTTTAAAATATTATTAATAAAAAGAAATTTTGTGCGGTTACCAAAATCATTTTTATTCTTTTACTATTCTAAGAATAGAAATTTTAAGCATTCTGCAAACACTTTAAATCTTAGATAATTATTCTCGGACACGGAATAAAAAAAAAATCATTTCTGAACAGAAATTATCTCCAGAAACAGAATGATTGTCAAACGCACCTCTAGTGTATAAGCTCGTGCTTTGGAACCAGGTTAAGTCAGAACCTCAAATTCCCGACATAAAATTGCGACACGTTAACTTGTTCTGCAGGGAAAACTTCGTGAGACGACCATTTTGATCGGGACGCACCTCTAATATTATAATTCTTTAGGTAACCTAAAAGTCCAGAATCGAGAGCGTTGTCGGGGAAGGAGCAATCACTTGGCTTTACATAGCACATGAAAATGTTGTGACGTCACCATTTTCCGATTAAGAAGAATTCCAACAATCGGAAAGCGGATTTTGTTGCATATGCCAGTTTTGACATAAACTCAAAGCGCATATCAAATGGAGTTGGACAGTGCCTAAACGTTTCGGAAAGTTGTAAAAAACAATTTATTGTTTAGATGCTGACGGTACCCACTTCTAAAAGTTGACCGATGGCGCACGCGTTATTGCTGGAAACCAAGGATATTGACGCCACTCACTTCTTAAGGGCAATACTCAACCAGAAAAACAAAACAAAAGATGGAAAGATCGAAGAGGGCAGGTCCATGTTCTGCCTCTTTCGTCCTCACTTTTTCCATATCTTCCATATCGATCATCGTCGTATACATAAGTTGTGAAACCCTGAGCGTCACAGTGAGCGCGAATCATTGTGAAGAGATGTTCCTCAATTGTCTATTCTGAGAACAATTAATGGGGCAGAGAAGGAAATCAATTTTACAAGTACAAAGCACAAAAAAAAAAAAAAGAATCAAAAGCGGTGAAAACGGCACTCATTTTTTCATTACATTCTTCTTACCTGTTCATGACCATTATTTACTGTCTACATTGCCATTGTTGGTGGGAAAAGCCTATCTAGAATCGTGTAAATGCCCCCTCCCAAGAGAAGTGCACCACTGCAAAAGACACAAATGGGAAATTTGTGTCAGTGAATGGATTTTGCAATTTACGAAATGGAACATGACACTCCCAACAGTAACTTTGAGAGGTACCTCACGGGATTGATCCATGCCGAGAACTTGCGGAATGAAAGCAGGCTCTAGTACAATAACCTCAGTCAGAGATCGATTAAACAATTGCACAAATGAAATCATTCATATACTGGGGGAGAAAAGAATGAACATCCCTGAATCATTTTTCTTAGTCGGTGGTAATCAGAATAAGGTTTCTATCCACAAATTGGCCAAAAGCATGGAAACATTTACCTGCAATGCTCCGGCAAAAGAAGCAGCAAGAAGTAAAGGAGTTACATAACCGGTTGTATATGTTAGAAGTAAGCTTCCCCCAATTACCGGATCCTGCAGGAATGATGTGCAGATTTAAAACAGCAGCAATTGCAAGTTCAGAAATCACTCAGAAATGCTAACATCATTGATTCACGGAACACAACACCATTCATGAAAACTAATCCTTACGTTATTTATCTATAATTCCGCCTACAATGATGAGAATATTTTGCCAACTCAGGAGTAAATAGTTAAATCACTGTCATAATTAGAAGTCATACTTCGGCCAAGGACATGATGTGAACATCTTTATGCTATGTGTATTAGTGTGTATGTGTACAGAGAGAGAGAGAGAGAGAAAGACCCTAGATGCAGCAACATATCCCAACAGAGTGGCGAGAACAGGTGTACTGCAAGGAGAAGCTGCTAATGCAAACGTAAGGCCTGCTAAATATGCTTGCACACCTGTAATTCATATTCTTCAAATCAACTGAGAGCACTTGGAGACCTAATCATAAAAAGTCAGGAGGCAGATTCTTTAAGGAAAGGCCACTTACTTGATGGGAAATTGGCAGCAGCAGCACGGGGATCAAAGTTGTCGAAGAATGACGGAAGCTGAAACTCGATTATCTGCAAATTTATAATCAAAGTAAGCTCGTCAGTTAAAACACAGTGCCAAGACGAGATTTGGCAATATGTAAACGCACGAATCGTAGCAATATTAGGGACAAACTCCCGAATCTGGATTATGTTTTGACGGGATTAGTCTCCTAATCTAAGTATGCTTCAAGAAGTCTTATCTCAAATGTTTCATACTAAATTGTGGGTGTGGGAGATACTCTACGAATTAACACACCAAAGACCAAAAAGGTGCTAGTAGAGCTGACAAGAATGAAATAACAACTATTAAACAGTTAGCATTGAAAAGAATGCAAGGAGCTACTTCCACCTCAAGGAGATTTAGACCCATAATAACAGCCAGAGCAGAAGCAGCCACGGGTAATCCTTGCCCTATCTGGCCATATGCCTTTCCAGCAAATGAGGCTCCAACTCCTAGAAGTGCCAGCGTAGTGGCTAGTCCTAACGCAAATGCAATTGAATCCCCAATGATCTGACAAGTCAATAGACAAGAGCTTAGCATAAAATCAATTGAGAGATCTCACTAGTCCAGTTCACAATCTGTCTCAAAAACTAAAAAATCAAGTGGTGCATAATATTGACTGCATACGGAAAAAAGAGAATTTATTTATGTTTCACAAACATCTATAGACCCTCAAAACAAGAAGACAGAAAATGCAATTCAGATTAGAAGTGATTAGAGAATTCAAATAGAAAGTTGTACCTCTGTCCTGCCTTTTCCGGAACCAAATGCTCCTTCACGATCCCAACACCAGTAGGGAAAAAGGAAGAAAATAAAGTTAAGATGACGAAAGACAATATACAAACAGCATAATCAGAGAAGCAGAAAGTTTGCCAGTTGCCACTCGGAGCGAAAGCAGGCTTACCTATGTAACCAAGAGTCAGAGGTAATACACTCAATGTACATGGTGAGAGGCTGGTCACAAGCCCGGCCCCAAATATAACCGCCAAACTGTAAAAGTAATCAAAGTGAATCAACAGCAGTGATACACTCTAATATCTGAATTTAAGGAAAAAAAAAAAAGAGGGTCGATTACCTAGTAAAACTGAGTGCAGAAAGTTGATCTTGAACGGCTTCATTGGCCTGTTGTCCAGCTGTGTATAGGAAGCCTCCAAACCAATCTCCAAGATTTCCATCAGCTATGGTACAAAACGGAGCAGCCACTTCCTGACCCGAAGGAAAATAATTCTAGCTCCTGAGGTTATATGCAAGAACGATAACTGGACGCATTTACTTGAGATAACAGCTGAAAGTGATACTCAAGCACATGATTCAAACTTAACCAACACAGTCAAATAAAATCCTTACTCAGGGCGACAAACTCATGCTACAATTGAAGTTGTAGGCATTCGTACATATACCTAATGGCAAAATACTCGGAATAAGATTCGCAGGAGGTCCTCACCATTACATTCTCGGTGCTCAATGCCTTTGCCACATCTACTGCAATCAAATTCGCCACTGAAAGCATGCCAACACAACCAAAGCACAAGAATCAAATACAAGCAAGCAAATGAGCGGCAGACAAAAGTGGAATTCAAATACGAGAAAGAGCGAATAGCACGACTTCACTTGTGAAATCAACTAGGCGGTCAACTAAAACAAGCACTACGCAGCCGCATACGCACTGAGTAAGAGGAACAATATCTGGTCCCTCCTTCATCGGAAGCAATAACTTGAGGGAAAGCACAAACAGACCAAAAGAAGTCAATCAAAAAAGCGATACCTGCGATAGAACTGAGCAGCGTCTTCTTCTCAAATTTGGTGAGACCACTAGCTCCAGAAGAAGGAACGATGTCTCGATGATGCTTCGTAGGTCCTGAAGATCTCCTAACCATTTTGACCGGAGCGCCACGATTGTTCCCTTCCACAGAGAATGAAATTCGAGAGAAACTTCAATCCTTTCAGACAATAACAAGCTCGAAGAAGACGATCGATATTCCGAAACACAACGAAAATCATAATCCGCTTTCGCCGGCAGCATCGGACATCGCCAATCGACCCACGGATAAACACGGAGAGCTCCAACAGATTCGGCGAAATCGACCGCGAATAGCATCACGACGAAGAGCTGACGCACTGCGCATCGAACGATGCGCGAGCCTTACCGTGAGAGCTGCTTCGGCCGCCAGGCCTGTGGTTCGAGATTCTGCAGGAGCTCAAGCAGCAGCTGCCGCTCAGACCGTTCATTCTTCTTCTTCTTCTTCTCCTCCTCCTCCTGCCGCTGCTCCTCCAGAGCGGGAGATATTTTACGTCTCCGCAACTCCAATAGCTATTAACGCTCGACAGATAGAGAGACACATGGCGGATGATCGAAGAGCTGAAAAACGACGTCGAGACATATTGGGCTGGCATCGGCCCGATTACGATGTCAATGCTCTTCAGGCCCGAACCCGCGTCGCCGTGGGCCGAAAACGGGCCTCATACATTCGGCCTATTTCCGTTTTGGTCCGGGCCGTCCATGACCCGAAGTTCGTGTTTGTGAATTTGTGTCGTTCTAGTTTCCTTTTGCCTTTTGTTCCTTCATTTTCATCGAGCCAAACAAAACAATCTTGAGTAATTGCTACATATCTTTGTTTGGGTCAAAAGTAATTCTAGATATTAGCCTACAACCTTAGTGTACTTGGTGACTTGATAAATTGCAAGTGAACACTAGACATTCACATAGATTAAGAATCCACCGTATCACCGAGTTTAAATTAGATTTTATGTGCATGTTGTTTAATGATTACTCATATACTGATGGTGTGATGATGTACATTAAGGAAACACCTTGATTACTTGTGTTTATGGTTCACTATTGTCGAGTTCTAGAGCCTAATATGGAAATTCTCCCTAAAATGAGAAACAGCTGCATGAATGCACCTTGTTTAAGTTAAAGGAGAACGTACTGCAGGTGATAAGACACACCATCACCACGCGATGGCGACACATGCTGTGTTGCATGCTGTGTCCCCGTCCCATAAAAAATATAATACATATACACAGCGCCAATCTCCAAGTTGGGATTTGGCAACTCATTGCACCCAAAAGCAACCATATTGTCGATACGAATAGACACGTGATTGAAATATCGAATGTTATCAAACACGTGACCCCTTGTCAATAGCCATAAGGATAGATATCGATATTTGCACACATCGGTGATCTCTACCGATCAGTTGTCGATATACGATGATTTGTTAACGATGGTCGAAAAAGGCATCGATTAATATGATCGATAACCTATCAAGGCATCACGAGAAAATTGAACGCATAAAGGGCATCAAAATGTGATTACAAGTTTGAAGTCACCGGAAAACAAAGTGATTGAAATCATGGAGCAACTAGCATGTGTTTTTAAAGGGCCAACCGTTTGGAGATAAGATCATGGTATCATGAGAATACGAGCACAAAACTTTCGTAGATGAAGGAACATAGCTACAGCCACGTGAGAACTGCTTAGGGAAAGGTTATACCACAACCACTATAAATACGGTAATTCTTCTACCGGAGAAACCCCCGCACAAAATAAAGAAATCTACTATTTTTATGTTATATTTACTATCTCGTATTGTACCTTCAGTTTCCAAACTAGCATCATCGATTAAATTTCGGTGTGTTTCTCAGATGTAGCTTCCACATCCGCATCGTCGATTAAATTCAAGCGTGGATCTCTATTCCGGGTCTTGTGTTGTCAATTAAATTCCGGCATACCATCTTTGTGTTCTCATGCTTTGTCATTGATTTAATTCCCAACAAGAGCCATTTGTGTGTCACAAGCCTTGTCTTCGTCTGTCCTGATTTGCATCTTAGCACCTATTGCCTCATCCTCATCTCAGGAGGCCTCGTCCTCATCCCAAGCCCCACAATCACAGGATTTACAATTGGTTCCGTAGGAGTGGCTGCATTATCCAAACTTTGTCATTTGATTAAATACCGGCACTGCTTGTGTTTGTAGGGTTCTGTTTGAAGTAAAAGTTATCTATTTTCTTATCAACCCGTGACATTTCATGCCTAAGGTCACCATGAAATTTGTCTTCTTTAATAATCGAAGAATTACTTTTAGTGAAATATATTTCATCGCGAGAGAATCGAAGAACTACTTTCGGCGAAATATGTTTCATCGCAAGAGGAATTTCGGCGAAACATCAACCTGCAAACGATCTATATCGTTTATCCCGTATCGGATGCCAGAAGGGGGGTGTGAACTTCGACCATCACTTTGTAATCTTTCCCAAGATAGAAGTTGGTGGTTTCTAGCCACGTTGTTTTGGGTGCATGCTTCGTCAGCTTCGAGACAGAGCCCCCGAAAGTGAAAGCGACACTCGATGATGTGCCATGCAAGAATCCAGAAAACCAATAATTCAGTACACGACCCTTCGGACATGCTTGGCTTGGGCTCGATCTCCTTTGTCGGATCTGTTCATGTGCATATGACTTGGGAATGAAGCATCCTCATCAGTTCCCAAAAATTTGCCTCATTGCATTTGTCAGGGCAGGCCAGACACGAGAGAGGAACTCTCGAGTCATTGGATCGAATCATGGTTGTCTCCGAAAGAACTATTTTCCCAATTTCTTCTTTTTCCAATTCACAGAGCTGGAGCTGGTGTTTGGACCCTCTTGTATCGTTCTGCCAGGACGTTCTAATGATCACTCACCAGCCAGAACCAGCTATATTCTATGTGCTCATGTTTTTTCCAAAAGGTGTGTGGATCCAAAGGATAAAAAGGGATCGATGGGTTCAATGGGTCGTGATCATTTTGATGAAGTAGAACCACCCAACTTGATCTTGCTTTTGGGAGACAAAGCTCATTGATTCCAGTCTTAATAGTGATGATTAGACTTGATAGCAACCGATCTCCAAGAAAAGAAGGAAGTTTATTGAGGTGCTGTTAAATTTTAACTCGAGATTTGAAGGATATACCATGAAAAAAAAACGACATATATAGTAGCAGAAGCCGGTGGAAAACTAGCTTCCAAATGACTTGATTTTATTGTGTGATGGAGATCTTATTGTATTTTTCTACATCGCACTACAAATGACATAATATTCGGCATTAATCTTACTTAATTGATTACTTCCACAGCTCCATGCACTCCTCTTTTAGTTTACTGGGTTCTATTAGGGTTAGTTCAAAATACCGGTTCAAAGTCCTAAAGACATAAGTCCAAAGGTTAATATCCTCGTCGATTGAGCGTTTACCTACTTCTACCAAATTTTGACCCAAAGAAAAATTTATAAGGGTAATATAAACCTGTCAAAAAGGGTCATAGACCAATTTATTAACTTATATCTGATGGACTGAGTTATTATATGTATTAATTATATTCAGTAAATACATGTAGAAAGGTAAAGCTTAAAATAATATGGGTGTTAAATGGGTCTACAACTTATTAGATTCAACCCACCTCGATGACTCTTTCTTCACTCTCTCTCTCATCTTTACTTAATCTCGCGTTCGCTCTCTTCGTGTTCTCACCTTAGTTTGGGTATGAATTTTTCTAAATTGAGTTATATATGGAAGTGTTTTAGTAGTATGGATCATGTCAGATTCGAGTTACTATATTGGTATTATATCGAAATGGGTCAAAATGGATTAAATAGTCAATTTGGGTTAGACTATTTCAATCCGACCCGACATTTGACGGGTCAAGGCTAATAATCCACATGGTTATAATAGGCCGACAATATTGAACATGATTTACACAATGTTCCGCAGCGCTAGCAATTACACTAGGCTAAAAATACGAATGTCATATGACATGACATTTTTCTTTCGCAAATCCTCTCACCAATTGAACTATATATGTTCACCATGAGAGAATGCGTGTCTATACCCAAAATTGCATTGCAAAGTCAATTACAACCAACCATTGATATTGTGGATTTTACATAAGCTCCTAGAGAAGCATTTCCTTCGTTTGTATATGTCATTGGACAGATTTCACTTGCTTTCGGGCTAGCCTAAGTACCTAAAAAACTTCTAACTTTGTGTCCAATGCCAATTTTTCCTTGAACTTTTTTTTGTCTAAAAAAAGATTCCCAATTTTCACTCTAGTCCCAAATTCTGTTCACGTATAGTTTCTTCAAAATTATCAATATCAAGATCAGTTAGATGTTCATTATTAGAATCTGCGTCTTTATCAACATTCTCACATTCGCATGGAACAACAACAGTCTCTTGATATTGATAATCTTGAAAAAATCAATAATAATTTTCGAACACGTTGACATATTTGATACTAGAGTGAAGGTTAGAGATTTTTTCAGACAAAAAATAAAGTTTGGATCATAATTGAAATTAAACCTAAAGCTAGAGTAGAGAAATCAAAAAAGGCTCGATTTTAAGACAGAAATCTCTCTTTTTCTTGAACTGATGTTTTTTTTTTTTGCAGGGTCTTGGTGACCACACAAAAGTGTCCTGTGCAGTCTGTAGATTCATCTTTTAAACCACTTTTTCACTAGCTCTGCACATTCTCCGGCTCCGAATGATGCTCAATTATTGAAAAGTATCTGTGCACATACGATAAAAAGATCAAAAAAGCTTAGCCTCTCTTTCAGTACATCACACCATGCGTGCCTCAACTGGCTGCATCCGTCAACTCTTACATATCCCTGTAAATTCTACATGTGATTAAGATTGATAGATCTCTGAATGATCATTCACTTAACATCTTTCCCAACAGAAACACAAAAACAAAAGAGTTATCTTGACCATTAGTCCCTTTTATGGCTACCAGTTGTGTAAGACGTCGGAGAGACCCTTGTTGAGGCGCTCTTTGAGTTGATCGGATAGAGCGACCAGTGAATCTACCGATCATTTCAGACATCACAATTCTCAACCTGTAATGTAGTACGTACTTTGATGTTATTATAAGTTCTCACGAATAGAGCCCCAAAGATGTCAAGTGATCCCAAGTTCTCTCACGCATGATTATGCGGTATCGAGATATTACGTTTTGAGAATTGCTCGGCTATCGAAAATCTGGTATCGTCTTCCCTTTTTACTGCCTAGATGATGGAAGTTCCGAATCTCTAGATAGACTAGGATGGGGTCATGCAAAAGAAAAGTCTCGAAGGAGATCATCATGACTCTCTAATCCCAAAGACTATGTTAGCTGTTGGGTTAATATAATGTTGGTAAAGAAATGTGCAATCACATGAAGTGATCATAAGACTTTTCTAAAAGACACGTAATAATTACTCTTTTTCAAAATCTAATTCTTGTGGACAGATGT